AGTTGTATCTGGTTAAAAAATAACTGGGTATGACCACTTAATTAAACAAATTGGTCAGCAATCCCTGTGATCATATTCAATCTGTTACTCTTATAAATAAAACTGCCCTAAGAAAATGATTACCAATGTGAATTCACCCAAATCTCCAACTGGATCACAGCATTTGGTATAATACCCAGAATACGGTAAGCATTTAATAGATAATTTCTATTGAGTAAAAAAAATGTCCAATCTATCAATAAAACAGTAAGATCCAATTAAAAAATTTACATATACATATTTTTGTTGGTAGCGTCTCCTCATAGGATATCGGTTACATCTTCCCATTGACTAATAACTGATAAACAATCGGAACAGAAAGTTTCATCAAATAACATGTTTACAATTAGCTTATTCACAGGAATATCTCTTACTTGAATGGCGATACTGCGATCCTGAGCAATTTCAAGTTCTTTGTTTTTCTCAGTTACTGTCTTCAGTTGACTGTCTGGATAAAAAGAATTACATTCGCTTAAAACTTATGATGAGTGTTTTTACATAACTGTCAATCTTACACATTTTAAAAATGAAAAAAACAGAAGCGCAGAAAGACTGCATTGAGTATCACATTCCAAATTCATGAGTATGTTCAAAATTTACTGTGTTCTAAACCAAAATGTTAAATATGCTGTCCTGTCTCCAAAATCAAATGTGCAATAATCCTAGCCAACATTTTTGGGAAAAATCATATGCAATTAGTAATTCCTGTATTGTTCAATAACATCTTCTAGATCAGCGTGTGTCATAAGAAATAGTGAACTGTATTTGGCAGTAAGAAAAAGGAGTTAAAAAGATAGGATTAAGTGAGAAAATAGCATTTAAAATATATAATGTGTATATATAGCAAATCATAGTAATATTTGCAATTCCTATCCTGTTTATCACTCTAAACAGCCTTTAAAGAGAAAAGCATTATGTTTGATAACGTGCTTATCTCTCAATCTCCACTCAAAATGGGCTCTTTTCCTTTACACAGTTTCTCTTCTAAACATAGGCTAACTAGAAAGAATATAATTTTTGAAATTTTTCCAAAAAATATCATTTTGAAACCGTATCTCACTAAAACACATCTCTATTATATGCTGGCAATTCAAATGAGCAAGTACATTATAATTAATTCTAATCTTCTATTTAAGAGGACTATTTGAGCAAAAAAATCCCAAATTTTCTATTTTGTTTTACTATTATTTAATGTTTTCCAGACCAGACTTACTGATCCAGAATACACACACACATACACACACACACATACACTCTCTAACAGAATACCACAGTAAGGTATCTAATGTATCTCTATGTTCATCCTTACAGTGTCCTCTTCTCCCAGATTTTGTGAAAGCTGTATTCAGTCATTTTTCTGAAACTGCTCAGCACTACTGCTAAGCAGATCTTTTTGTTATGCCTAGGCAAAGCAGCCAAAAAGTTATAACCTAAACAAATAGTCCATAGTCACAGACCCATTAAGAAGGAAAGTTGCAATTTTAATCATTACTTTGATTACGAACTTCCTGTGTTCCTTCTCCACTGATCAAATTAAAACTGAACTACATTGAATATCAATTAATTATGGCAACCAGGCACGGTGACTCATGCCTGTAATCCCAACACTTTGGGAGGCCAAGGTGGGAGAATCACTTGAGGTCAGGAATTCAAGATCAGCCTGGCCAACACGGCAAAGCACTGTATCTACTAAAAACACAAAAATTAGCTGGACCTGGTGGTGCAAGCCTGTAATCCCAGCTACTCAGGAAGCTGAGGCACAAGAATCACGTGAATGTGGGTGGAGGCTACAGTGAGCCAAGATTGCACCACTGCACTCTTACACTTAATCGTGTAAGAAAACTAAGAAAGAGATTATCAATCTTTTATAGAAACTAGGCCTTAAAAGGGAAATATCCTGAGATTCGTATTTATAAAAATTACTAAAAAATAGAGTTAAAACATAATACAAGCAACAGGCTTCGATTCTTCAAACCACTTTGATTCATAAAAACAAACCACTCTCTACTTCTTCAGTTGTATAATGCTTCCACCTTTTTAAAAAGATTTCAAGAAATATTATCTCATTTGATTTACAAACTACTCTCTTCTTCAGTTGCACAATGCTTTCACTTTTTTAAAAGGATTTCGAGAAATATTATCTCATTTGATTTACAAAGCTGTGTAAGTACACACACATGTGCATCTAGCCATTTTATAAAAAATAATCAGATACTGTTAAGATTTACATGTGGCGAAAGCATTTTTAACAGCAAAATCAGAATAAGAATCCAGGCCTGACCATTAAGCTCTGTGTTCTTACAAAACCTTTACCACTAAGTGAAAAATCAAAATATCATCATAATAAAAACCAGTGATGCTTAATCAATTATTTTCATATTTAGCATGTAAATGTTTCCGAAGTATATAAAGGAGTCTCTGAAGATTTCAGTACTCCAAGAATACCTACAAAGAGGAATTAAATACTTACTGAGTTTCTCTAGCTCAAGCCGCAAGCTCTGACACTCTCGGGTTTCATTCACAAGTCTCTCTTGATTGTGGGACAGTCTCTTTTCTATCTCAAAATACTGTTGTTCTGCAGCAGACAAGCAAAAAATAAAAAACAAAATCAAACACATGTACATATTGACAAACACATTGTCAATACTGGTATTTATTTCTAATAACCTTGATTTTAAAATTTCAGGTACAGTATTAGAATTGCACTCCAAGTAAGAGAATCTGAATAAAGATAGACTGCGCACTGAAAGGGACTTAATAGCATTTCCAAATGACTTACATGACAAAAAATAAAAAATAAAAATAAGGCCTAAAAGGGGCTTTACAAATGAATGTCCTCAAGGCAGGTAATATGTCTCATTTATATCTCAGTATTTTCCCCAGACATCAGTAAACTACTCAGCATAAAGTATGTATTAAACGGGAAAAAGTTGTTTAGACAAAAAAAAACTCCTTTGTTTTAAAAGGCTTCTTTTAAAGTAGTCAAGGTATTACTTGACAGTACCAAACTACTAAATTTATGTAAAAGTAAACGTGTGAACTTCCCAAGGGAAGGAATTGAATATCATGCTCAGCATAGTATCAGGAACATGTAAGACACTCAATATTTACAGAGCAAGTTAATAAATAGAATGCAATGTACTATACTCAGCTCTGGGATCAGAGAACTCATTTTCAAGGTCAATTCTGCTTGACAGTTACATCTTTTTTTGAAGTAAAAATTTGTTCAGAATTTCCAGTCATCATAGCAAGAACAATATTAACCTCCCCAAGCAAATGGTAAACCAAAACACATTAGCAGGAAGTTTTTATTTTACTAACGGTAATTACTATATTCTTCATATTTTTTCAAGGATGTTCAAGCCATTATTGTCAGTAACTTCCATACTTAAAGACCTACTTCAGGTACGTGTAAGAAAATGTTAATGTTTTCTATCAAACTCCAACTTTTTGAGAGAAATAAGATGTTAAACTTATGTACTGCATGTTCACTGTGTTTCCAGTCCTCTTATGCACCAGATGTCCATTTTCGTAAACATCTAATTCGTTCTGGGGCCGCACAGGACGACGCACACACTAAGAACAAGTGCACAGAGCGGTCAACTTGGCAAAGGCCTAGAAGAATGCAGGTGACCAGAAAAAATAGGGCGGAGTCACTATCAGCTGAAATGCAACAAAACATCTGAGATTCTCTAGGCTTAGAGAGATGGGTTCGCAGACTCTAGCAAGTCTGCTTCCCATTTGTCCGACAAAGATAAGCGTCCCTATAGGAGCCTACCCTAATTACAAAGAAAACGGTTCTAAACTGAGGATTCCGATTTGTTTTAAAAAGGGCTTCTGAGCAAACCGTGAGGAGCAGGAAAGCGAAGGCTCAGGATATCCAGAGCCCAGGAAGTGAGGTTAAAAGCGTCGTACCCAGTTCCAACTTGCTAGGGGGAAGACCAGACCCAAGAGCGGGAGTCGAGCCCAGAGCCAAGGGCGGAAAGAGCATCTCACTTACCGCTCTCCACCTTAAATTTCTCGTGCCGCCCCTTCAGGCCATCGATCTCGGACTGCTGATCAGCAAGGAACTTTTCAAGTTTGTTCTGGACAGACTTGGGCAGCTTGTTCAGCTCTGTGCGCTCCAGGACTTGCTGCAACACCGCCGCCATGTCGGTGGGGCCACGAGCCCCAATGGCAGTGGCCGACGGGGTGGAAGCGGAGAAGAAAGACGAAGACCAGGAGCACCCAGAAGCCTGCGCCGCCGCCTCAGTCTCCTCGCTCGGCAGCTCGCGCGCGCCAGCCCGCCGGAGACTCCCGCGGCGGGACCCTGGGAAATCGAGTCCAGCCTCAGCTGCAGCGCCTGAACGACAGCACCAGACCGCCCGCGCCCGAAGTGCGCGCGCAGCCCTCGGAAGCTGCGCACCCTGGGATTCCGAGTTCAGAGGCTGCCTCTGATCCTCTTGGGCCACCAATTTTCCGGCTCCCAGCTCCACCCACTTCAGGCGGAGCTGAAGTGGAGTTGCAGGCCTCTGGGAAACGTAGTGTTTTTCTCATTCCCTACCGGGAGCCCAATTCCGCACCGCCCTTTCCGTTTCCGCTTATCTCCCCGCTCCTCCGCCCCCGGGCTCTCCTATCTCTGCCGCTTAACAGCTGTCCGCGCGGTGGCGCCACATACGTACTCGTCACCCCACGGTCCTCCCTGAGGAGCTGGTGACCTTACCGTCAAAGCCCCGGGATGCCATGGGTCGTCCTCTTGGGCGGCTTCTGGACACTGAGCCACTAGAGGGCATCGGTCCCGGTAGGGCCAAACGGCAGGCCCCGGGCTACCGCCACGCTCTCAATGGCGCCCAGAAGGGGGCGGGGTGACGACCGCAGTCGCTTTGGCTGAAGCTCTGCGGTGAAGGGAGGGGGGCGTTTTACGTCATCACTCTGCGCCACCTGACTCCCGAGACCCTGGCTTTGGAGTGGGAAGTGAGATGTGGGAAGTAGGTCGCTTTCTGATGAATTAACTGGCAGTGAACTGAGACCAGAGGGAATCTGGCCGCCAGAGGCTGGTACTTGCTCCCGAACCCCCAATTCCGGCGAACAGTCTGCCACGAGTGCACATTCTGAAAACAGGTAAGTCAGCCTGAGTGTAATACGTGTGTTTGTGCTCGCGCGCGCGTGCACCGGAGCACACAGCTCCCTTTTCAAGAGAAAAAGGAAGGGACAGAGTGTTGGAAACACGGACAGTCACTCCGGCATACATAAGATCTCACGAACTTACCTTGTGTGAAACGGCGTACCTTTTTGGCGGTGGGGAGGTGATACTGAGTGATTCAACAGGAATTTGAGGAGCCGGGTTAATTCTTCAGGAGAATTAAAAGAAACCAGTAGCACTTTGAGTGTACCCTATGTTTTCGTTGCAGAAACTGTTACCTAACATACTGTTTTTAAGATTGAAAACTGTCATAACTCAAGTTTTTAAACGTATTCTTAATTGCTTCAGTAACAACTTGTACGTTTCCAGATCATAATTCTGTAAATTTAAAGCTCAATCCGTAGATTGTTTCGTGTTTAATTACTCTTTAGAAAATTTATTAAATTATTGATTGTTAATAATGCATTCCCAATGTCGTTCTCTCTGCAGTTCCCACAGTCGTGGGCCTTCTGTGAACTGGTAATTTAGTTCTTATGTGAAATTTATTCTCTTTTTCTCTAGTTCCTACTTTTGAATCATGCGAGGCTAAAAAATATAAAGGGAAGCATTTTATGGTATTTTGTAATAACTAAGAAAAAATAAATCAGCAACAGAGCTTAAGGTTGATTTTTCCCCAAAAATATTTTTTAGGTAAGCACCGTAATTAAAGTTGCTGGTATATGGAGTATTATGCTATGTCCTAGGCCCACAGTATTATCATACTGTTGATCTGTCATTTGGGAAATGTGGATTTTCTGTACTTAGATTCACAGCATCCTAAAATTAGAAGGTTTTCAGATCTGCTAGGATCCAAATTCTTTATTTCATAGATTAGAAAACCAGAGTCCAGGAAGGTTGAGTTGTTTCAGTCACAGTGCTTGGACCTCAAAGGCTTTGGCTGATATACAACATTTCTAGAAAATTATGACCGTGCAAGGCAAGATACAGTTGTCCCGTGGTATCCATGGGCCATTGCTTCCAGGACCCTCCCTTGTCCATCCCCATGGGGATCTGTGGATGCTCTACTTCATTATATTAAATGGTATAGCATTGGCATGCCTTAAATCATCCCTAAGTTACATACAATACCTAAAACAATGTAAATGCTATAGTTGTTATATCGTTTAGGGAATCGTGACAAGAAGAAACATCTTTACACTAACAGTACAAGTGCAATCATGCTTTTTTTAAAAAAAATTAAAATCTGTGCTTGGTTGAATACATGGACGTAGAAACCACAGATACAAAAGACTGACTATATACATTTTTAGTGTTACCTTTTATAAAGTTTGGTTGACTACATTTAAAAATTTTGAAGAGCACTAAAGAAAAATTTATCTGACATTCTATCAGATTTCATAATTGAATAGATTTTCATCTCATTATTGCATTCAGTTTTTTACACATTAATATGGCTACAAGGTGACACCATAGAAGAAATAAGGTTAGAAGGTTAAATATCATAACTCTGGAATTACTTCTATTTGTTGCAAGAATTAAAAATTATTAGAGCAGAAGGAAAAGGAGTATAATATGCCGAAGTAGAGGAAAGTTAATACATAGAAATGCATACCTGAAGGCATTACTAAAGATTAAAAGCCCTTGACTTCATAGAAGCATCAATGATATTTAGACAAGCATTCCTAGACTTCGTCTCTAAAGCATGATGTGCAAATCTGATTCACGTGTACTGTTGTCAAAACAGAGCTAGGAAGAAATGAATGTATTTTGAGAGAAAACTGAACAAGCCTCGACAATAATTAAACAGCGTCCAATAGGACGTTTCAAACTTAATCCATATTCTGGGGTTTAGTTTTAAAATGCAAAAGTCAGATCTGTCTGATACCAGTACATCTGTCATTCACAAGACGTTTTGCATATCTCTAGTAGCCTTAGCTTTGTGGTACTGAATAAGATTCACATTTTTACCGAACCCAAATGATGATTATTCCTAAATTGCAGTGTTCAAAATACTGCAACTCTGTTCCTGCAGTCTCTGTTTGTTTTACAGCTCTTTTGGATATCATCTGTTTTACATTTTCATCCTCACTGCTTATGAGTTCCTTGATTTAATCATTTATTATATTGCCTAGCTCTTTTATTCAGTATCTTTGGTTGTAAGCTACAGAAATGCAAATCAAAGGAGCATAAGCCAATAGAGGGAATGAATATACTGATTTCCATCCACAAACCAGAGAGAAAGCAGAATAAGAGCTACCCTTAGTAATGATTTAATTGAGGGACTGGTTTCTAGTCCTCATTATGAGTATGGTGTTGAAAAACATGAATTCTGGAGCCAGAGCATCTGAGTTTAAATCCCTCCTTTGCCACTTAACCAGCTTCGTCACTTTGGCAAGTTATTTAGTCAGCTTCTCTCATTTCAGTTTCTTCATCTGTTAAAGGTTGATTATAATAATAGTACCTACTTCCTCGGGTTTTGTGCATTATTAATGTTACATGGAAAGTACTTACAAAAATGCCTTGTACAAACTAGAAGCTATAAAAATGTTTGTTATTGTATTGCTGTTTACTTAACTCTTGCTGTAGTATGTATTGCTCAAGGACAGAGATCATGGTGCTCATCTTTGTGTTGTCCCACTCAGCATAGTTTCTAAGCAAATAGTATCGTTCTTTTGTATATGCTTATCAAGTAAATGAATTTGATTCTTTCTGCCTCCCGATGAACTATTCAGAAATTCATGTTTACTATTGAAGCAATGAGAACACTGAGACTTAGCAATAGATTATCAAAGATAATACAACCAAGGAGTAGATCTAAAATAAGAAATCTGGTGTGTTGCCTGCTAGTTTAGTATCCCCTCCCTTATCCCAGGAATGAGAAAAAGGTTTGAGCTTCCTGTCAGCTCCTGCTGATTGTCGTTGTTTCCTGCTGCACTGTGTTGAGAAGAACTCTGGAACTGCGTCTGCACTTTGCAAGAAGGAATGCCCTATGTAATAAGCATTTGCTATAAGGCATGTGATAGCATCAGGATAGTACCACTTCTCTTGCTGTAGTACTCCCATGATAAAAACATTGCAAATGCTATTTTACCTAAAAATGCTGTGTCTGTTTTTTTCTTGTAATATAGGAGATTAATTTAGTTCGCCAAAATGGGAAGAACCTACATTGTAGAAGAGACTGTGGGCCAGTATCTTTCAAACATAAATCTCCAAGGAAAGGCTTTTGTCTCTGGCCTTTTAATAGGACAGGTATGTATCTTTTACTCTGCATTTATTACTAAATAATTACTCTGTGACTTATTAAAACAAATTACCTGTTTATTTAAAGTTAAAAGATGCTGTTTAATAACAAACTCAAGGTTGGGCGATGGAAGGAAGGCTTGTAGAAGAAGTAATTTTAAAGTAGATCTTTAAGGAAACATGGAGAAGTAGATGGACCTAGCCCAGGTTTGCTCAAGTCAGGTCACCTTCCCCTTTGACCATGTAAAAGTAATTTATAAGGTGGAAACTTCAGAATTAGAATGTTTATTGACCAGATTATTTACATTTTGTTGTCTTTTCAAAGTGTTTTATACTCCCTTCTAATCTAATTTCTAGTTGTCTAATTCTTTACAAAAGTAGCTTTTGAAAATTTTATTTCCTTTCTAGTTTGTCTTGTCTAACCCCAGACTTACAGCAACAGTGGTCATATTTTTGTCATATGCTATAGTACTCATTTTATTGAGTTTTTTTAATGTTGGATCAATAGGGAGGGAAAAGGATTGGGAAAAATTTGGAATTTAGACAAATTCTATTTTCCTCTTAGAGCTAAGTCTTAAAAATCAAGGCAAAATGGAACAGAGATTCAGATACTTATTTTAAAATGCATCAACAGCCACTGATGTATTATGAGTGAAGGAAGAACCTGTTCATCAGCAGGAGGGACTAGTCAGCAGTACATAGCAAAAAAATAAAAAGGAACTAAACCTCTTATTAGGACAATTTTCTTTCTAGATATCTTAGCCTAATGCCTTAGAATCTTCAAATTGCATAATTAACTTTTCTTATTCTGATTTTATCCGTATTCCCAAGCTACTCTATTTTATAATTTGATGCCCCATGTTTTATCTGCTTATAAAGAAAACACTGTCATGAGGACTCATGTGTTCAGATGCCTTCATGGCCTTTTAGTTTCCTACATCGTTCTGAATGAACGTAGTTAATGTCAGTCTAGCCATGAAATGACAGGCTCATTTTCAGAATTTTTATAAATCAGATTTCTTAGTTTGCAAGACAGTTGGCAAATATGCACGGTTCAACCAGGTAGTACCACCCTGTGAGGCCTCTCATTAGTCAGCCAGACTGCCTTTCTTGAGAACAGTGTGAATTTCTTTTTGATTCAGGTTACTTAGGATGTTATGTGCTAAACTCTTTTCGTTAGGAGTTTTCGATTTAGGTTTTTTTCCTTCTCTTTGTTTAAACTATTTAATGGAAGAAAGGTCTTAGAGAAAGATATGATCAGTAGAGATAAAAAGTCAAAGAGAAAGACCCTCTTCTAAATTTGTCTTAACTGGATAAAGGTTGTTTCTAAAGCTCAGCAGAAACTGCCATCTTACAAATGAGTGTCTCATAATTTAGGATCTCCCTTCCATCTGTCTTTATGCTGCCTTTTCATTCCTTTCAGTATTCTATGTTCTTTTTCTTCCCCTTTCTTCCAGAGTTTATCGATTTTTCCTCTCCTTCCACTTAAGCTCACCTGTTTCCTGGTCTCTGTCAGTTTCTTTTTCTTTTCAAAGTTGGACATGTTATGAGAAAAAGGGGAGCCTTCTTAATCGAGGCCTTTTTTTCCTGTGTTTATTTGAATGTAACTTCCTGAAAATAACTTGTAGGAATAATTAGTCTTCTTTTATTTTCTATCCCAAGATGATACTAATGATCAGAGTTTCCGGTCATGTGTGAGGATGATACCATGCTAACTTGTATTATCAGCCTTATTTTCACTCTTTTTTATAGGAAACTTTCACTCTAGTGAAGTGTGCTATTAAATGTTCCCTGCATTTATTTTTAGATCTCCCACCTTTGGTTACTACTTAACTACTATTACAACTGAAGAACAGATTGGGAGTGGTGGCTCATGCCTATAATCTGAACACTTTGGGAGGCTGAGGAGGGAGGATTGCTTGAGGCTGGAAGTTTGACACTAGCCTTGGCAACATAGCAAGACCGTGTCTTTACAAAAAGTTAAAAAAAAGAAAGAAAAAGAAAAAATTAGCCGGGTGCTGTGGCTGGTTGTTTGAGCCTGTAGTCCTAGCTATTTAGGAGACTACTTGGGAGGTTTGCTTGAGCCCAGGAGTTCAAGGTTGCAGTGAGCTATGATCACACCACTGCACTCCAGCCTGGGCATTACACACACACACACACACACACACACACACAGAACAAAAAACAACGGAAAACCCCCTTGAAGAACATAGAATCTGGTATCACTTTGAATTGTGTCCCAAATCCCCTTTGTTATTCTGTGGAAATTTATATGGAAGTTCCCCACTGTCATCATTTTAGTTAAAATAAGATATAAAAGGTCACTTGTTATTTAATTTCACTGATATTTTATGTTTGTTAAACATCCAATCTGTTCGAATAATTTATGAAACAAATATAATTAGAAAACTGAGTAAGCATATTGCTTTTTAGTTAATATAATTCATTCACTCATCCAGTAAACCATTTTTAGGGACCACTCTGTGATTTACATTTGGGTTGTCCAATTAAATAAGAAGCTGATATTAAATATGTTAAAAGATCAGGCCAGGCACCCACCGTGGCTCAACCCTATAATCTCAGCACTTTGGGAGGCTGAGGTAAGCAGATCACAAGGTCAGAAGTTCCAGACCAGCCTGGTCAACATGGCGAAACCCGGTTTCTATTAAAAATACAAAAATTAACTGAGCGTGGTGGCAGGCGCCTGTAATCCCAGCTACTTGGGAGGCTGAGGAATCGTTTGAACCTGAAAGGCAGAGGTTGTGGTGAGCCGAGATCTCATCACTGCACTCCAGCCTGGGCAACAAGAACGAAACCATCTCAAAAAAAAAAAAAAAAAAAGATAACATGTGAGGGAAAGGTTGTAAGGCTATCCTAGAAAAATAGCTTTCCTCCAGTTTCCACTATAATATGGGTATTAGTGATTTAACTTGTTACAAATATTACGCAGTTTGTGTATGTCATAAAAGCTCAGGAATCACGCATCGCTCTAATCAGAGTGAGGAGTCAGGTATCACTCTAACAAGATTTTATATTTCGTTTTTGAAGTGTTCTTCACAAAAGGATTATGTGATTCTTGCCACTAGAACGCCACCCAAAGAGGAACGAAGTGAGAACCTCAGACATCCCAAAGCTAAGTTGGATAATTTGGATGAAGAATGGGCCGCAGAACATGCCTACCAGGTTATCTTATTTTTCTTAAGTTTTATTTCAAAAAAGAGCTAGAATCAAGAAGATTTAGCGACTGAGTAAGGAGAAGAGACATAGGGAGAGAGCAGCTAAAGATGACTGAGATTTTTAGCTTGGGTGTCTAGGAGAATAGCCTTGGCATTATGTGAGGAAGAAACAGATTTGGGATGGGTGAGTGGGAATAATGACTAAATTAATTCACTTACGAGTATTTATTGAATGAATTATATATCATCTAATAAAGAATGTTAGAATAAGGTAAAAATAGAATTATTTTCTTTTCCAGGGTGGGGTGTAAGGGGAGGGGACTTAGAGGATGGGTTAATAGGTACAGCAAACCATCATGGCACAGGTATGCCCATGTGACAAACTTGTCCATTCCTCACATGTATCCCATTTTGTTTTTTTTTTTAAGAAAAGGGATTTTTTTTTTTAAGAAATAAATTTTTCTCTTCAAATCAACTTTAAATCTTTTAAATTCAAACATGTGTTTCTGTGTATGTATACATATATACGTGGACAAATCTCTGTGTCTGTGTTTGTAATTATGGGGCAGTATATAGTTAAAAAGAAATCCCACCTGTAATCCCAGCACTTTGGGAGGCCAAGGCGGTTGAATCACCTGAGGTCAAGAGTTTGAGACCAGCCTGGCCTACATGGCGAAACCCTGTCTCTATTAAAAATGCAAAACATTAGCCATGTATGGTGGCGGGTACCTATGATCCCAGCTACTTGGGAGACTGAGGCAGGCCTGGGTGATAGAGTGAGACTCTGTCTCAAAAAAACAAACAAAAAGAAATTCAAGAAATATTTAATTATTATCGTTTTAGTCCATTTGTGTTGCTATTAAGGAATACCTAAGACTGAGTAATTTATAAAGAAAAAGGGCCGGGCATGGTGGCTCACGCCTGTAATCCCATGTAATCCCAGCACTTTGGGAGGCCAAGGCGGGTGGATCACGAGGTCAAGAGATCGAGACCATCCTGGTCAACATGGTGAAACCCCGTCTCTACTAAAAATACAAAGAATTAGCTGGGCATGGTGGCGCGTGCCTGTAGTCCCAGCTACTTGGGAGGCTGAGGCAGGAGAACTGCCTGAACCCAGGAGGCGGAGGTTGCAGTGAGCCGAGATCACGCCATTGCACTCCAGCCTGGGTAACGAGCAAAACTCCATCTCAAAAAAAAAAAAAAAATAAAAGGCCTGTTTGTCTTATGAGTCTGCTGGGTGCAAGATTGGACATCTGGTAAAAGCCTCAGGCTGCTTCTACTAGTGTCAGAAGGCAAAATGGAGCTAGTGTATAGAGATCATATGGCCAGAGAGGAAGCAAGGTGGTGTGAGGTGCCAGGCTTTTTTAACAACCAGCTCTCCTGGGATCAAATACAGCAAGAACTCACTCATTGCTGAGGGGATGGAACCAAACCATTAATGAGGGATCTGCTCCATGACCCAAAAACCTTCCATTAGGCCCCTCTTGGGTTTAGATTTCAATGTGATGTTTAAGGGGACAAACTTGCAAGCTATAGCAGCTGTCTTCTAAGGAAAATATCATGTATTGTAAAGTTAAATTCCCAGTGGTTTGTAAATAACTTTCTACTCTAATTTTGCTTTTGGTCTCTCATAAAATTATATCTCTCTCTCTCACACACACACACACACAGACACACACACACAGAATGTGAATGAATTAGCTTAACCTTTAACCTCTAGAAAGAAAAGGTTAATTTTACTTTGTTTCCCCTTTCTTGCCTTCACCACCATCTCCTAAGAAATGGTTAATTTTTTGCATTGGTGATTTCGAGAACATATGCAGGCTCCCTGTGGTAAATATGAAACTTTGTTAGAATTGTATTGCTGTAGTAAGTAGAATTTGTTAAATCAGAGGAAACCACCAGCAGACATAATGCAAGTAGATTAAGGATTAAGGTATGCTACCTAATTTTCTAAGACTCTACTCTGGATTGATCGCTTATACATTAAGTAAATGAAAGCTGACCGAAGCACTCTAATCTCTGAGTATAGATGGAAGAAAAATACCCATGTGGTATTAAGAACCGGCCACAGTCCTGTGAAGGGAAATACAGATATGCAGATATCATGGTACTATGTATCAAAATCCGAAATATGTGTAACTTCTTAACCTAGTTGTCCCCCTCAAGGGCTATGTCCTAAACAAATAATCCCATGAATGCAGAAAGATGTACTAGGATTTTTAATCAATATTATTTTAAGGTAAAATTAGATATAACATAAATGCCCAATGCCAGTAAATGTGTTTAAAATTTGAGGTAAATCTATGCAATAGAAAGTAATGTATTTTCAAGTCAGACTCCCTCTGTTTAAATTTCAGATCTAGTATGCTGCTTAAAAATAGGGATACAAAGGTAGAATTACTTGTTGTTTCCTTAAGGAGCTCCCTGACCAATTGGTAGGGTTCACAGATAACTGTAACATAAGGCTATGTGATAAAGTCCGTGGGAGAACTACAGCGAAGCCCTGTGAGGTTCAGAGATCAAAGGATTAGAGAAGGCAGCTTCCTCAAGCTGTCTTTGAAGTATCCAGTAGAGGTGAGACATTTAGCTGATGGTGAGAGGCTGTTGAAAAAAATATTTTAGTCTTTGATCTCCTGAGAAAGGGGTTTATTTATTGATGTAGCTAAAGGATGTTGTTATCAGATAGTTTTATTTATAAAGTAGTTTTAAGGTGAAAAGTGAAGGACACTCTAAGAAGACACTTAGTTTCTCAAACAGAAAGGATTGCATATAATGCCAAATGCTTCTGTTAGCTAATACTTTATTTCTATTTTTAGGTATCCAGAATGCTACCAGGAGGACTTTTAGTTCTTGGAGTATTTATTATTACTACTTTAGAACTGGCAAATGATTTTCAAAATGCCCTGCGTAGAGTAAGTGTGATCTATAAAAAATTCTTAATAACATTAGAGTTATATGCTATTTTTATTGATTATGAGTATATGTAATAATTCTAAGCATATTAAGATCCGTTTTCCATAATTCTTTTTGCTGGGGTTACATCGAAAGAGCTTTTTTCACTCAATTGCTTGGATATCTTTAGTGTAATAAATGTTTACATTTTTAATCAAAACTACATATTTTAAAATAGTCTTTATTTTAGAGATAATTTTTGACGATTAAGAAACAAGTTAGAAGGCTTTAACCATTTTTCTTGTGCAGTAGCAGTATTCTGCCACACCTTCCATGTAGTACCTAGTGATTGTTACACGAAATTAATAGGTGCTGAAATTCTTGGCCTTATTTTCAATTCTCCCAAGATCCTAAGAGTAAAACATAAAGAAACAATCAGATTATTTCTGGACACAGTATCTGTCAGGAATCTCCTGTGTTTTTTGCTTAATTACTACACCAGAGATTTGGGTAACATAATCTAAAATATGAAGGTCCACAAGCTCTTCTCCCTTAAACCCAAACCTAAGGTAAACTCTGTGTAGCCAGCTATCATCTCTTTTAGCATTCATGATCCACAGGAACTTTTCGAAGCGTATTTCACACCTTGAGAGAGAGGACCTTATAATCTTGAGCAGTATAAAACCCCAAAGTATCCCAGAAAAAAAAGTTTTTTAGGTAAAAAAAAAAAAAGTGTGCAGCTGAGAACTTCAGATGTTACAAATTTTTTCAGTCTTATAACCTCTCCTGTCAGATGTCCCAGTCTCAAGACTTTGATGTTTGCACCTAAGGGAGTAAGGGAAGAAAATGGAGATATTTTCCTCCCTATTAAATTGTTTAACCCTTTGCCAATGTTTCCATCTTAAAGACATTTACCTCTTTCACAGTTGTTCATTCCTTTTGGCATTTTGAACTTTAACCTAAACCTATGCGTATTTAATATTGCTAGCATTGATTGTGCACCCTTTTGTGGCTGGTGCTGACTTGAGTTGGGTGAATGTGGGCCCGGTGCTAGAGAGTTATAGCCAGGTCCACTTTCCTTTTGCTCTTATATCTTGTTCCTAAGAAGCATATAAAACTTTAGAAATGCTTTATCTCTGAAATTACTGAGTTTCAGTTATCTGTTTCCATTGGCTTACATTGGCAAACACTGTAAGAATCAGCCTTATAAAACTTGTCAGTGTCACCCATTATTGTGAAGAGCTTTATTCATTGTATTACATTAATATTGTGTTTCTGGAAGAAATTTCTTTTTATATTATGAAGAAAGTTGTGTCTCTTCTGATTATTGTTTGTTTTCAGCTTACAGACCATGTGAATTAGGTTACAGGTTAGATTCATCTCTGCATATTATTATTAGAAAGCTTAGAGCCAAATGTATTACCACCCCTTATATGCATTTTTATGGTTCTCATTTCTGACACAAATTTATGTCACTATTCTACTTTTCAACTTTTAATATATGTTATTACTATATTTTATCTGTCTTTATATATTGCCTCAAGTCTTTTGTGATATTTAAATAAGAAATGCTAAATGGGTGACATGCTCGATTTCTTTCATTAAAATCACTTGTCATTTCTCATTTTAATTAAAATGAGGTCTCTATTCTATAGTTTATATAAAGTCTACTTGCTCCAAATTAATTTTTCATGTACAGTTAGTCACTATTAACAGTGAATTACATTTTTCTATTTAAACCCAATTTTTTATAAATTCCTAAAAAAGGGAATTCAAAAAGGTTAATAATTAGTTCCAGTCTTTAATTTGAAGAAAAGAAAAATTAGTGGTGGCACACAGCTATAGTCCTAGCTATAAAATTTGAAAGCTAGACGAGAGTTGTGGACATTATAATTACCTATTTCAGTACTCACTTTTTTTTTTCATTTTGTATTCAATTTTGTGTATTTTTCTCTTTTTCAGCTAATGTTCGCTGTGGAAAAGTCTATAAATAGAAAGAGATTGTGGAATTTCACAGAGGAGGAGGTCTCAGAACGAGTGACACTTCACATTTGTGCTTCTACAAAAAAGTATCTTTTTTTCAGTTGTTTACGGTTTAAAAGTACAAAGTACCAAAACAGTGTTCCTGCAAGGTTTTTTTGCTATTTATTTAAATTATCATAGAAAAAATAGGCATAGTTTTGTAAAATTCTTCTGTAGATAACATGAAATTAGAGCTACCGATAATAATAATAGCAGTAATGGTTGTTAATCATGTCCCAGGATCAGGTCATAAGAAGTTTGAGATCTGAAATATTAAAGGCTCAGGATTCCGAATTTTTTTACCAGCTATCTGCCCCTGTACATCCAAGCACAGTAGGTTCCCTAGAGAGATAAATGCCTAACTGATAGCTTAGGTAAAGTTATGTTTTTATTATGGTAAGGTTTTCACCTCCAATTTCTGTAGATAACGATGTACAATGCAAAGCACAGGTCACAGAGCTGGACGGTATAGGACATCCAAGAAATTCTTATGTCCTTGGCCAAGATGAGATGACACTAAAAGCCAGTTACAGGGCCTGCTTACCTTCTCTTGTCTGCACTTTGCCAAGCAAGGATCAGCCTCACCAAAGGAATGACACAATCCTTGGACTTCCAAAGACAGATTTTTAAAAATGACCATTCCAGCAGAAGCAGGGCTCACCCCTCCCTGCCCCACATCTTTAGTGTTTAACCACAAAGTTTCATATACGAGCCCTTTAATCCAATAGTCTCAGGCTTGACCTCATATAAAACAGTCCTACTTCTTGTTCTGGAGAGGATGTATTTGAGCAGAATTTTTCAGATGCTTTCATTCTATTCGTTGCAATTAGCAGTATTTCTAAAAGGCAGGAAATGTTTTTCAAGCACTGCAAGTACTATAGTCACAGCAATTTATATGTATGAGTGTCTGTATATATACATACATGCATGTATGTATACACATACATACATGCATATATCTGCCTTTCTTTATATGAAGTGTTAGGATTTTGTAAGAACTTTTGGATGCATGCATTTTTTAGTTTATTTTTTGATGGTTTGTATTCTTTTAGTTATCAATAATGCCTTTTTTGGTTATTTTATCCTTAATTAGTAAAGAATATTTTGTCGAAGTTATGATATCCATGATCCAAAGGTAAGAAATTTACTCTTTCAGGATTTTTCTGTGTCACAAAGTATTTTCAATCAAAATTCAGCTTTTATTTAGTTTTAATAATTTTTATTGCCATCACTTCCTATTGATGTGTGTAACCAAGTGTAATTTTTGTAGTTTGAAATATCATTAATTGTATTACAGGTAAGGACAACTTTTTTGTGTGTGACAGGGTCTCACTGTGTTGCCCAGTCTAGAGTGCAGTGATGCGGTCATGGCTTACTGCAGCTTCCACTTCTTGGGCTCGAGGGATCCTCCCACCTCAGCCTCCTGAGCAGCTGAGACTGCGGATGTGCACCACTGCACCCAGCTAATTATTTTTATTTTGTTTTTGGTAGAAACAGGATTTCACCATGTTATTCCTGCTTGTCTTTTAACTTCTGGGCTTAAGTGATCTGCCTGCCTTGGCCTCCCAAGGGGCTGAGATTACAGGCTTGAGCCACTGTGCCCAGCCAACTTTAAAAAAAATTGTTAAAATATCTTTGTTAATCCCCTCCTACCTTGTTTGTGTGTTTAGTTTTATATTTAAGAGGCTGGTAGTAGAAGTGACTGAAGACTTTCGGTAGCTGCAATGCCTACTAAACAAACTACATGTATGCAGCAAAACCCAGACTAGCATTTTGCTAATCCTTCTAAAACCTTTGCGAAAAAGTAACTTTGCAGTGTCGTTAGCAAGGATGGGACAGAAAGGAGAATGCCTGTCACCCAGGAGTTGCTCAGTGATGATTTGCTTCACATCAGAATCTTCAGTATTGATACTGTTGAAGCTGGAGGATCAAAGGACCTTTCAGAATTCTAAATATGGACATTTCTCATTCTTTTTCTGCCCACCATTGGGAGGAGAAGTGTTGCCAAGGATGTATTTAAGAGTACTGAACTTAACACATGCATTATTTTGTATTTAGTTCAACCTATAATCTTTTGATTAAGGGTTTAGCCATGTATGTTTGATATCCGCTTGTATGAGCTACTTAGGTCGTATACATAATGATGTTTTCTTGATCCATGTATTTTACCTAGACCACGCCGTAGTTATTTTTCTCCCTTCTCCACCGCCAGAGTTCAGCAAGACCGGCAGATTGGAAGTATCACAATGGATTATCATCCTCATGGCTTTCTTTAGAGTGTACAGTTCACATTAATATTCACATGCCACTTTCTGCTACTTCTGTCAGCTATACTCTGGAGAAAAATACAAAGGTATCGGGGTCAAATGAATTTTCTTCCGTGATTACTAGTGAACAGTCTGCTTTTATTCGGCTTCATGTGTCATTCATTTTACAGCCTTCACAAATTGCACTCTGTTTATGATAATGTTGTTATATGAGTAACTTCTTACTCCAGCCAACTTAGAAATCGTTAGAAGTGGAACAATGTCTTAATGCTAGTGTATTTAGCTTAATAACTAAATTTACTTATTATGGCTTGAAATATGATTAATTTTATTACAGGTAAGGAAAACTTTCTTGTGTGTGACAGGGTCTCATTCTGTTGCCCAGGCTAGAGTGCTTTAGTTTATTAATAAATAAAGTAAACTTAGTTATTAAACTAAATACACTAGTATTTATTATGTGCCTATTAAATATTGTTATGTGCCTATTTTGTCAGTAAACTAAATACACCCATATTCATTGTGTGCCTATTAAGGCACATAATAAATATTCATTAATTAACATACGTAAAATGTAATTAATGTGAGAAGCTATACTGTTTGGACGTTTAGCTTTCTCTTGGTACTCACTTTGTTTGTCTTCCTTTTTCCAGTTCTTTTTGGTATTTCTATACCATTTTTTAATTTTTATCTTATTTTTCTTCATTTTTCACATTGAAGATGTGAAATGGAGTTTTTTAAAAATTATTTGAACTTTTATATTATTTGAGGCTTTTTTCGCACTTTTTTTTTTTAAGGTAATGGGCATTAAATTTTATTTGACGGGTCATGTACTTAAACTCCCAAATCTGTGACATAAACGTTACTCTGGGATAAAGATCAGAAAAAAACTATGTTATTAAATACCATAAGGTACCAAGAATTGGGGGGTATACTTTTTTTTTTTAATTTGTGAAACTAGATTAAAATGCTGCATTAATGAGACTTAGGGATTTTAATATTTCATTTTGTTAGGTGGGAAAAAGTAGAGTCTAGGAAGTTTAATTGCGATGACATTATATCTGAAAGATTTCCATGTTGTATTTCTGTTAAGAATGGACTCACGCGCTGGGCCAAGCAAATAGAAAATGGTGTTTATTTGATTAACGGACAAGTTAAAGATGAAGATTGTGACCTATTAGAAGGACAGGTGAGATAAGAGAAAATCATCTTATGAAATTGTTACTAAAAGATGATTAATCTTTAGTCCTTGCCTATAAGAAAACTGATTTCGTCTACTCATTTCTAATTTCTTTGAAAGTAAAGGGCAAATGTTTTTCTTAGAAAAACAACCCTATTAAAAAGTAGACAGGGGGCATGAACAGGCACTCTTCAAAAGAAGACATGCATGCAGCCAAGAATCATATGAAAAAAAGTTCAGCATTACTGATCATTAGATAAATGCAAATGAAAACCACAGGGAGATACTATCTCATGCTAGTCAGATTGGCTGTTACTAAAAAGTCAAAAAGTAGCAGATGCTGGCATGGCTACAGGGAAAAAGGAATGCTTACACACTGTTGGTGGGAGTGTAAATAAGTTCCACCATTATGAAAGGCAGTGAGTCCTCAAAGTCCTAAAAACAGAGATACCATTTGACCCAGCAGTCCCATTCTTGGGTATATACCCAAAGGAATATAAATTGTTTTATTGTAAAGACACATGCATGCATTATGTTCATGGTGGCACTATTCACAATAGCAAAGACATGGAATCAGCCTAAATGCCCATCAGTGTTAGACCAGATATTGAAAATGTGGTACATATACACCATGGAATACTATGCAGCCATGAAAAAGAACTAGATTATGTGCTTTGCAGGTACATGGATGGAGCTGGAGGCCATTATCCTTAGAAAACTAATTCAGGGGCCAACCATGGTAGCTCACACCTGTAATCCCAGCACTTTGAGGGGCTAAGGTGTGTGGATCACTTGAGGTCAGGAGTTTGAGACCAGCGTGGTCAACATGGTGAAACCCTGTCTCTACTAAAAATACAAAAGTTAGCTGGATTTGGTGGCAGTTGCCTGTAATTGCAGCTACTTGGAGGCTGAGCCAGAAGAATCGCTTGAACCTGGGAGCTGGAGGTTGCATTGAGCCAAGATCGTGCCACTGCACTCCAGCCTTGGGCAACAGAGTGAGACTCTGTCTCAATTAAAAAAAGAAAAGAAAAGAAAAGAAAACTAACACAGGAACAGGAAACTAAATACCATACATTTTGACTTGTAAGTGAGAGCTAAACGCTGAAAACACATGGACACATAGAGGGGACAACACACACTGGAGCCTATCGGAAGGTGGGTGGGAGAGGGAGAGGATCAGGAAAATAACTAATGAGTACTAGGTTTAATACCAGGGTAATGAAATAATCTGTACGTCAGACCCCCGTGACACAAGTTCACCTGTGTAACAAACCTGCACGTGTACTCATGAGCTTAAAATAAAAGTTAAAAAATAAGTAAGTCTGAGAAAAAAGAATGACAGCCGGAATCCTGAAACTTTACGGGAGTGTCCTCTGATTTCCATCTAATTTTCAAATTGCAAACTGCTCACTTGGGACCAAAGGCCACATGTTATTCTGCCCTGATGGCAGTTCAAAAGCTATGGCCATTTTATAAGAGAGGTCTATAGAGGCTTCTAAAATAGCTTTGACTTGAAGGAAGAGGAACTTTTGTGATCTCTCCCTTATTAGAGCAGGGATAAGCAAACTTTATGTGAAGAGAAAAATACTACATATTTAGATTTCACAGGCTGTATTTTTCTCTCTACTGTGTAGCATGAAAGAAACTACAGGAGATACATAAGTGAATGATGCTGGTTGCATACCAGTAAAACTTAATTTACAAGGACAGGTGGCAGTGCGGATATTTGCCCACAGGCGATGGTTTGCCAGTGGTTTGCTTTAGAGGAATAAAAGTACAGAATTAATTGTTTTAAAGAGTGCACATTGATTGATACAGAATATATAAAGTAATATCTATATAAAAAGCTAAATTAAAATAATTAAAAGACTTATTTTTTTCTAAGTTACTTAGTGTATATGCAATAGTTTCTAAGTTGTGTTTTATGTTTCATAGTCTTAACAATTTGACTTTTTAACTTTTGTGTTTTTTCAGAAAAAATCTTCCAGAGGAAATACTCAAGCAACTGGTCATTCTTTTGATGTCAGAGTGCTAACGCAGTTGGTAAATATTTTATAATACCACTTATTTAAAATAATTATTAAAATGACCATAATGAAACTGTTTCTGTTTTTATGTTTCTCATTAGAGAATAAAAGAATTTTATTCTTATTCTGTAAGAATTTTATTCTTATTCTGTAAGAGATTGTATAAAATACCTAGATATAGGAAGGTTATTCCCAAGAAATGTCATTTTAATAAAACTTGTTTGGGTTTTTGCCTCAAGTACATTAAAATTTTAAATCAAGTAAATAGTTTTTAAAAAACACGTACATATATATACATACATGTATATGTATGCATGTTTGTAAATTTTTTGGGTTGTAGCTTTTAAAGTTGTAATTTTAACAAATTGAAAGCAAAAGATGTGTGCACAGGGGGGCAAAGAGTTGTCACATGCTTAATTTGAGTAGATTTATTAGATTTATACCTTCTAATTTGATAAAAATCACTAAGTATTAATTAGCAAGTTTTACATTTCTGTGTCGTTGCTTTAGTTTACACATCTTTTCAAAAATTTGAAAGTTGGATATCTTGAGGAATAAAAAGTTAAAGCCACGAATTACTCCTAAAAATATGTAGGCCTTTGATTTTAATCTTGCTTGAAATTATCCTAAAGAACAGACAGGGTATAAAATAGCACATGCCTGTTTGTAGGAAACTTAATTTCAATATTATACTGGATTTTGAAACAGAAATACTTCAAGACTTGGATTTTTTTGAACTGAAGAGAATTGAATTAAAAGCAATTTGACATTTGAGGATATTTTAGTTTCTTCTCTTTTGTGTGTTTAACAATAGAGTGTTAGTATATTGCAGCTGGGCATGGTGGCTCACGCCTGTAATCCCAGCACTTTGGGAGGCTGAAGTAGATGGATCAAGAGGTCAATATGATTGAGACCATCCTGGCCAACATGGTGAAACCCCACCAGTACTAAAACTACAAAAAATTAGCTGGGCATGGTGGCACACACCTGTAGTCCCACCCATTTGGGAAGCTGAGGCAGAGGAATCGCTTGAACCTGGGAGGTGCAGGTTGCAGTGAACTGAGATCACGCCACTGTACTCTAGCCTGGCAACAGAGCAAGACTCTATCTCAAAAAAAAAAAAAAAAATAGAGCATTAGTAAATTGTCATTGGGCTATGCCACTCAACATGAGCTCTCAGATTTTTTAATACCTTAGAGGTATTTTGGTCTGATTTTCTACTTTTGATTTTAGAAGTGTCTTTTGTTTTAAGGCTGGCTACTCCTCTACTTACATGCTCTTCATTAGTTAGGCTTACTTCTTGGTTTATTAAACAATTTAGTTAAGATTATTTTATTAATAGTATAAAATTGTAGTTGGGAGATATATATAGAGTGTGGGTATACGGAGAGATGAATGGAAGATAATATCATGAGATAATTTGTTGTAGTAATATTATTTAGTCTAATATATTTTTGTCAGTCATTCACCGATCACCTAACTGGAAATTTTGAAGTGACTAATACATAATAAATAGTACTTACTGCCACTTTTCTTCCAGTTAAGTCTTATTGATTTTTTATTTGTCATGTTAAGCTTCTCTTTTATTTTCCATACAGTCCTACTGTCATTAGCCTTCAACAGTATTATTTTACCTAAATTAGCACAATTAACTGTTAACTGGTCTCTCTTCATCTATGCATTCTTGTCCAAAGTGACTGTTTCTCTAAAACCTTCTAGCTTTGTTGGTATGTCTTTTGAAATACTTTTCATTTGTCTATTCTATCCTGTTTGTACATTCAGGTTATCATTTCTGAATCATAGTTTACATTCATTCACTTATTAATTTTTTTAAGAGATGTTTATTGAGTTTGTCCAACAGCCAGACACTGATTATGCTATTCTCCAGAGTTTCTTAATTGTTCTGTACTGTCTAGTTACAGACCTCCAACTCAGGGTTCTTTATACCCCCAGCATACCTTTTTGTTCTTATTTTCTAGATGTACCCTTTTTTTATTATTATTTTGGGAGGAAGGGAGGAAGGCAGGGAGGGAAGGAGGAAAGGAGGGAGGAAGGAAGGAAGGGAGGAAGCGGGGAGGAGGGAGGGAGGGAGGGAGGGGAAGGAAGGAAATCAAGCAGTGAGAGAGTCATTGCTGATCTGGATCTAGAGGTTTACAAGTTGATTTTTTTTTTTCTTTTTTTTGAGAGAAGGGAAGAAAAAAAGAGTAAAGGAGAGGAAGAAAGAGGAAGAGAAAGAGGGAGGGTGAATGGAAATATTGCTTTATTCTGGAAAAAAAATGGGTATTAATAATGGCCAATCAATGTTTCATTTAAACCTATGAGTAGGGCCAGGCGCGGTGGCTCAAGCCTGTAATCCCAGCACTTTGGGAGGCCGAGGCGGGTGGATCACGAGGTCAACAGATCGAGACCATCTTGGTCAACATGGTGAAACCCCCTCTCTACTAAAATTACAAAAAATTAGCTGGGCACGGTGGCACGTGCCTGTAATCCCAGCTGCTCGGGAGGCTGAGGCAGGAGAATTGCCTGAACCCAGGAGGCGGAGATTGCGGTGAGCCGAGATCGCGCCATTGCACTCCAGCCTGGGTAACAAGAGCGAAACTCCGTCTCAGAAAAAAAAAAAAAAAAAAAACCTATGAGTAGGTGTGATATGGTATTGACAAGAATGTATATTTTGTGTATTTGAAGTGGAGAGCTCTATAAATATTTATTTATTTATTTACATTCTTTTTTTTTTTTTAATTTTTTATTGGATTTTAGGTTTTGGGGTACATGAGCAGAGCATGCAAGACAGTTGCGTAGGTACACACATGGCAGTGTGCTTTGCTTTCCTTCTCCCCTTCACCCACATTTGGCATTTCTCCCCAGGCTATCCCTCCCCACCTCCCTTTCCCACTGGCCCTCCTCTTTTCCCTGTAAATATTTATTAAGTTTATTTGTTCTGGATCTGAGTTCGAGTCCTTGATATCCTTATTAATTTTCTGTCTCATTGAATCTAAGTCTCTATGTATCTGGGTGTTAGGATCATTAGCTCTTGTTGTTGCATTGATCCTTTTACCATTATTATCTTTGTTGCTTTAAAATCTATTTTATCCGATATGAGAATTGCAACTCCTGCTATTTATTTATTTATGCATGCATGCATGCATGCATGCTCTCCATTTGGTTGGTAAATCTTTCTCCATCCCTTTGTTTGAGTCTTTGTTTATCCTTGCATGTGAAACAGGTCTGGATGTAACATGCTGTTGGGTTTTGGCCGTGTCTTGTGATTGGGGGATTTAGTCGATTTAAATTTAGGGTTACTGCCATTTGATGTTGACTGGCTGTTTTATCCATTCGTTGATGTAAATTCTTCTTTATGTTGGTGCTCTTTACTTTTTGGTGTATTTTTAGAAAGGCTAATACTGGTTGTTTCTTTCTGTGTGTAATGCTTCTTTCAGAAGCTCTTGTAAAGCAGGCCTGGTGGTAATAAAATCTCTGAGTACTTGCTTGTTCATAAAAGGTTTTATTTTTCCTTCAGTTGTGAAGCTTAGTTTGGCTGGATATGAAATTCTGGGCTGAAGGTTCTGTTCTTTGAGGATGTTGAATATTGGCCCCCACTCTGTTCTGGCTTGTAGAGTTTCTGCTGAGAGATCTGCTGTAAGTCTGATAGGCTTGCTTTTGTGGGTAACCTGACCTTTCTCTCTGGCTGCCCTTAGTATTTTCTCCTTCGTTTCAACCCTGGTGAATCTAACGATTATGTGCCTTGGGGTTGCTCTTCTTGAGGAATATCTTTGTGGTGTTCTCTGTATTACCTGGGGTTGAATGTTGACCTGCTTTGCTAGTTTAGGAAAATTTTCCTGAATAATATCCTGAAGGGTATTTTCCAGCTTGGATTCATTCTCTCCGTCGCATTCAGGTACACCTATCAAACGTAAATTTGGTCTTTTCACATAGTCCCACATTTCTTGGAGACTTTGCCCATTCCTTTTTATCCTTTTATCTCTAATCTCATCTTCTTGTTTTATTTCATTAAGTTGGACTTTGACCTCTGATATCCTTTCTTCTGCTTGAACAATTTGAGTGTTTAAACCTGTGCATAATTCGCGGAGTTCCTGTATTGTATTCTTCAGTTCCATTAATTCACTTACATTCCTCTCTAAGTTGTCTATTCTCAATAGGATTTCATCAAACCTTTTTTCAAAGTTCTTAGTTTCTTTACGTTTGGCTACAACATGTTCTTTTAACTCACAGAAGTTTCTTATTATCCATTCCTTGAAGCGTGATTCTGTTATTGGGATGCGCTCGTTCTCCATCAAGCCTTGTTCCCTTGTTGATGAGGAACTGTGATCCTCTTTAGAGGGAGAGGCATTCTGATTTTGAGTATTCTCAGCCTTTTTACGCTGGTTTCTTCCCATCATTGTAAATTTATCCTCCTGTCATCTTTGAAATTACCAACTTTCAGATTAGGTCTCTTGAGTGGACGTCCAAGTTGTTAGTTCCCAGGGCCAGAACAGCGGCGTTAAGACTAATGGTGCTTTTCTGCCCAGGATTCTCCTGTCTGGCTTCCTTCTTGTGTCCGTAATAGGCTAGATATATTCTTGCTGTGCCTTTAAAACTCTGTCTTCCTGAACATGTTCATGTTATTGCTCTTTTCTCTGTCACCCAAACTGTCTGTATATTAAGACCTAGCCCAAATGCCCTATTTGTGTAAGATTTCATTTCAGAAATGGGGATATTCTCTTTTTCAAATACCATGTCAGCATTATAGAAGTTCCTTCACCTGTGAACCCGTTAGGTTCCTAAAGGCTGTTTGTCAGCCAGATTATTCCTAAGTCCAGGTAACCAAAAAGAGTTTACATTTGTAGACCCCAACTGGTTTACGTTTCTACCAAAAAGGAATGAGTCAGACTTTATATTCCTTGAAACTTTTCCTGACTGAGCATGGTGTAATCCCAGCACATTGGGAGGCCCAGGCAGGCTGATCACTTGACCCCAGGAGTTCAAGATGAGTCTGAGCAACAAATGAAACCCTGTCTCTACAAAAATTGGCTGGATGTGATGGTGTGCACCTGTAGTCCCAGCTACTCAGGAAGCGAAGGTGGGAGGATCAATTGAGCCTGGAAGGTCGAAGCTGTAGTGAGCCGTGATAGCACCACTGCACTCTAGCCTGGACAACTGAATGAGACCCTGCTTCTAACAAAACAAAACCAACCGACCAACCAAAAAAACCTTTTCTTTGCTATGTGTGTGTATATAGTCTTTAATAGTCTAGTCTATTTTGGAAAACAGTGCCCTGATATATAGAGATATATGTATATATACACACACATATTTACATGTAATAATATATAGATGCGTTATATGTTAAAAAATGTAAATTATATGTCAAATATGTAAAATAGGGCATTTAAAAAAAAATACAGTAGTTTTGTCTACAATAAAAATGTATAGAGTAGATAGGGGAAGCCTGTTACTCCTCTTCCAACTGTACCATATTGATATATCGATGAACTCTACATGTGTCAAATGGAAGCTGATTCCAGATACCGTATCAGCATCGTCACACTGCTGCTTGATTTGAGGAGAGCCATTTTTTGAATGGACCCAGGACTTTTGGAGTTGTGTGGTCTGTGATGAATTTTTTATCAACAAGTCCTTGACCATGTTAACAATTATTTAACAGCACCTAGAAGATTTAGGTCTGGCCTAATTACATTACCTTAAACGTTGACTGAATTACAGTCTGGAAGGTCGAAGCTGTAGTGAACCGTGATAGCACCACTGCACTCTAGCCTGGACAACTGAATGAGACCCTGCTTCTAACAAAACAAAACCAACCAACCAACCGACCAACCAAAAAAACATTTTCTTTGCTATGTGTGTGTATAGTCTTTAATAGTCTAGTCTATTTTGGAAAACAGTGCCCTAATATAAGACATCAAATAATGGTCAAATTCATATTCAATTATTCTACATATACATATTCATACAAATACATATTCAAATATTCTACTCTTCCTTCATTATTTTTCTGCGTGTATTCCTGATTGCATAAGCACGTGGGCCCAACACACTTTTCACAAGTTGTGTGATTTGATTTTTGTTCTTCAGAATTGACTTTGTTGTTGAATGACTTATACTCTGTGTTCTTAGAACATAAAAATTACTTCCGTACATGTCCATTTTTTGTTTTTTTGTTTTTAAATCATGATTTTTGTTTCCATTGTGGTTATAGGCCTCTACTGAGTGTACCTTATTTGAAATGCTTCGGACCAGAAGTGTTTTGGGTTTGGGGTTTTTTAGCTTTTGTAATATTTCCAGAATACATACTGGTTGAGCATCTCTAATCCAAAAATCTAAAATCTTATACGCTCTAATTAGCATTCCTTTGGGCATCACATTGGTGCTCAGTAAGTTTGGAATCTTGGAGTATTCCGGATTAGGGATGCTCAACCTGTATAGTACTTTAAATATTTTGATGCTTTCCTTGTTTTGGCAGTTATTAAGATGGTGAGGTTGAAAATGTATGTTAAACACCTGAAAACCAAACAAGAGTGCTGGCATTCCTTAGACTCAAGAGGAATTGCGTCTAAGGACTGAGATGAAGGTGACTGCTTACGACCACTGGTGTCATTTTCTGATAGAGACACAGTTCTCTTGTTTCAGTTTTGTTCTGGAGCATACCATTAATTTTAGTCTGAAAGTTTTCAGTTGAAAGTGTGTGAATATATGTGCATTGCTTATAGCTCTACCATAGTTATCACGTCTCACTTTGTATTTGTTAGTTTTGTAGTTAATTTGCATTGCACGCCTTACACCTACTGTAGCATGTCTTCTTTATATGTCTTTTAAGTACTGATGTGAGGAATTTGCACATAATATATTTTTAGGAATATATTGAGTGAATATTGAACCAGTTTAGATGGTTATGTCAGAAAAATTTAGATGTAGTTGTGTTTAATTTCAGTATACATTCAAAATACCTGGAAAATAATATATAACATACAAAAACAAATATGAACACCTTTAATTTATGGAGAATAATTTTAAATGTTTGGCTTAGTCAAAACTTTCTTCTCTCTTCATATAACTGCTAATACAATGTTTACTCATTTCCTATAGTTAATCATTGTTGGTTATTAGAACTTAAACAGATTTTGTCTTTCAGCTCCTGAATTCAGACCACAGATCCACAGCCACAGTCCAGATATGTAGTGGTTCCATAAACCTTAAAGGGGCTGTGAAATGCAGAGCTTATATCCACAACAGTAAACCCAAAGTTAAAGAGGCTGTGCAGGTACAAAATGGAAGAACTAGTATATGAAACTCTGTTAACTATTTAAAAAACTAAAATTTTACCTTTTTTCAATCTTATATTTTGTAATTATTATTAACTTTTAACTGATAATGGCCTAATCTATTGTGTAGTCCAAATGCACCATATAATTGGTGTCAAGATTTTCATCTGAGAGTATCTATTTTGTGCCTTTTTAAAAACGATGATTATATGAGTCTAGTAAGTGTTCCACAGTTGTACATATTAGTATCTAATTTGGAACACTGGAATTATTTTTTAAGATGTTAAATTTTGTTATTTGGTTATGGTCTAGGCAAATTTGTCATTAAACTATAAATTTGTTAAGTGTGCTAAACAAGTGTAAATAAAAAATTGAATGCTCTATCAGTTATTTAGTGGGCATGATTGTACTGGAAAGGAAATTATGGGGTTTTTTTTAGTTAAATAATATAAATATAAAGTATTTTATTTCTTACTGTGTTTTTGTGTGTTTTTCCCTGTAGGCAGTAAAGAGGGATATAATGAACACAGTTGCTGATCGTTGTGAAATACTATTTGAGGATCTCCTTTTGAATGAAATTCCAGAAAAAAAAGTTATGAGTATAAAATAAGTACTTTTTTTGCATATCTTCAGCTGATATTAAGATATAGCAGATATGTCATCTTTATAGCTACCTATGTTTTCAAACAGTGTATCATCTTTTACTTTCATTATTGACTGAAAATTTTTCAATTGCTACTCAGAAATTTTTTTTCTTTTTTTTTCAGACAGGGTCTCGCTCTGTTGCCCAGGCAAGAGTGCAGTGGCACAATCATGGCTCACTACAGCCTCAGCCTCTTGGGCTCGAGCAGTCCTCCTACCTCTGCCTCCCTAGTAGGTGGGCCCGCAGATGCATGCCATGATGCCTGGCTAAGTTTTTGTATTTTTTTTAAGAGACAGGGTTTTGCCACGTTGCCCAGGCTGGTCTCAAACTCCTGAACTCGGGTGATCCACCATCTTTGGCTTCCCAAACCCAGGGTGTGAACCACAATGCTCAGCTCTAGAAAAATGTTTTTGAACACTTTGTAATAGCAAATTTGTAAACACTTAACAATTTCAGGGAAGATTTTTTTAAAAATTGATTCCCAGTGAACTTCTGCCAGAATGAGTAAACTTTGTTGACGTTTTAAAGTTAATATTTTTTCTTAACATCTATGAGTATTTTAAATAATTTAGCCATAATTAAAATATTATTTATTAGTGTTAAGTACTATATAGTAGATCCTTTAATAGGTACTATTTATATAAACTGCACTAGTTTATATGCTTCTCAGCTGTTATTAACAGACTTCATTAGGTTTTAAAAAGGCTGAGTTACAGTACCTTACCCTTTAATAACAACTGCAACTTTTGGGAAACAATTTATACTATCATAGTAATTTGTATTAAAAAATTTTTTTAATCAAAAAGGAAATTAAAATATTGAGTACACTTTTTAAAGCTACATCATCTCCCCATTCTTCTTCTTGCAATATGACTGGATTTGCAATTCACATTTAGATATGTACACAATTGAAACATTGATATTAGCTTTTTCTTTTCCCCTGAGACAGTCTTGCTCTTGTCATCTGGGCTGAAGTGCAATGGTGTGATCTCGCCTCACTGCAACCTCCGCCTTCGGGATTGTAGCAATTCTCCTGCCTCAGCTTCCTGAGTAGTGGAGATGACCGGCATCTGCCACTATTCCCGGCTAATTTTTGTATTTTTAGTAAGATGGGGATTTCACCATGTTGTTCTGGCTGGTCTCAAACTCCTCATCTCAGGTGACCCACCTGCCTCAGCCTCCCAAAATGCTGGGATTACAGGCGTGAGCCACCACACCTGACCCATATTAGTTTTTGAAGAGAATATTTTTATGTTCATAGGAAAAAAAGCATAGGTCCTCTGTATAACCAACTTCTTTTAGTACTACTGATAGCTAGCGTATTGGGTTTGATGGATTAACTACAATCTTTTTTTATATTCCTAGTATTCTAGACTGAGTGCCAGATTTAACATTTATCCTTCCCTTAATTCACAACCCTGGAGGACTTCCATTTGCTATAATTATTTTTTTATTTTAATTTTAATTTTTATTTATTTATTTATTTTTTTTGAGATGGGGTTTTGCTCTTATTACCCAGGCTGGAGTGCAATGGTGCAATCTCGGCTCACTGCAACCTCCGCCTCCTGGGTTCAGGCAATTCTCCTGCCTCAGCCTCCTGAGTAGCTGGGACTACAGGCACATGCCACCATGCCCAGCTAATTTTTTGTATTTTTAGTAGAAACGGGGTTTCACCATGTTGACCAGGATGGTCTCGATCTCTTGACCTTGTGATCCACCTGCCTCGGCCTCTCAAAGTGCTGGGATTGCAGGCTTGAGCCACTGCGCCCAGCTACTATTAATTTATAATTTTACTAGAACATGAATTTGAATCTTACATGCAGCAATTGGATTGAGAGTTTTTGGGAGAGCTATATATAGGACCTGTTCACATAGTCCATCAGCCTAGCAGCCCCATCTCAGTGTGGCTTTGCTTTGCAACTTGACTTTGAGTTTGCGGTAACTCCTGTGGTGTAAATCATTGCTTCACTTTCTGAGCAACAGTGTGTGTCATAGCTGCATGGTGAGTTTCAGGATTTTCAGAGTATAGGGATGTATCCACCATTAATGTTAAAGATCTACTTTATCAGACACATCAGTGTACTCTTTAACATTTAAAAATGCTTTATAAAGGTGGTATTGCCACTCGCTTCGGCAGCACGTATACTAAAATTGGAAAAAGTGGAATTACATGACTATCCTGCTATTCTTTCATATTCAGTTGGTATTTTGAAATTTCTGCTAATATCCAATTAGTAAAATTAATGGCCCCTAACAGCAGTTGTACTATTTATTGTACTTGATATAATTAGAAGTTAATGTTATAGCCCAGTCCTAAATTTTTTAAAAATTTAACTGATAATTGGGTGGCCTTGCTACCTATTTGAAGGGCATAGACTGTAGTTTGGTGGAGAGAGCAAAGACTTTGAAGTTCTTGGGTTCTGTGTCTATTCCGCTGCAAGCCAAGGGACCTCAGGCAAATGACTTTATAAGCTTCCTTTCCCCTCCCCTCCCCTCCCCTCCCCTCCCCTCCCCTCCCCTCCTCTCCCCTCTCCTCCTTCCTTCTTTCCTTCCTTCCTTCCTTCCTTCCTTCCTTCCTTCCTTCCTTCCTTCCTTCCTTCCTTCCTTCCTTTTTTCTTCCTTTCTTCCTTCCTTTCCTCCTTTTCTTTCCTTCCTTTCTTTCTCTTGTTCTCTTTCTCCTTCTTTCTTTCCCTTTTCTTTCTCTTCCTCTCTCTCTCTTTCTTTGATCACATTGGTTTTGACCTTCATTCTGTTGATGGGATGTATCACATTATTAATTTTTATATGTTGAATCATCCTTGAATCTCTGGAGTAAACCCCAGTTGATTATGATGCATTATCTTTTTGATGTACTGTTGGATTTGGTTTGCTAGTATTTTGTTGAGGACTTTTGTGTCTAGGTTCATTGGGGATATTGTCCTGTAGTTTTCTTTTTTTACTGTGTTCTTGTCCGATTTTGGTATTAGGGTTATGCTGATCTCACAGAATGAGTTCAGAGTTCTCTGTGCTTCATTTTTTTTGTAATCATTTGAGAATAATTGGTATCATTTATTTATTAAAGGTTCAGTATAATTCATGGTAAAACCATCTAGTCTTGGATGCAGTTTTCTTTAGAGACTTTTCATTACTGATTTAGTCATGTTACTTTTTTTTTTTTTGTGATGGAGTTTCACTCTTGTTACCCAGGCTGGAGTGCAATGGCGCGATCTCGGCTCACCGCAACCTCCGCCTCCTGGGTTCAGGCAATTCTCCTGCCTCAGCCTCTTGAGTAGTTGGGATTACAGGCACACGCCACCATGCCCAGCTAATTTTTTGTAATTTTAGTAGAGACGGGGTTTCACCATGTTGACCAGGATGGTCTCGACCTCTTGACCTCGTGATCCACCCGCCTCGGCCTCCCAAAGGGCTGGGATTACAGGCGTGAGCCACCGTGCCCGGCCAATCATTTTACTTTTTATGAGTCTGTTCAGGTTTTCTATTTCTTCTTGCTTGCTTTCTGTCTTTTTCTCTCTCTTTTTCTTCTTTCTTTCTTTTTACAAGACTTTGAAGTTCTCAGGTTCTGTGTCTGTCCTGCCACTAGCAGAGTGACCTCAGGCAAATGACTTTATAGGCATCCTTTCCTTCCTTCCTTCCCTCCCTCCCTCCCTCCTTCTTTCCTTCCTTCCTTTTTTCCTTCCTTCCTTCCTTCCTTCCTTCCTTCCTTCCTTCCTTCCTTCCTTCCTTCCTTCCTTCCTTTCTTCCTTCCTTCCTTTTCATTAGAGACAGTGTCTCTCTCTGTCACCCAGCCTGGAATGCAAAAGTGCAATCATAGCTCTCTGCAGCTTTGAACTCTTGGTCCTAAGTGATCCTCCTGCCTCAGCCTCCTAAGTAGCTGGGACTACAGGCAAGGGCCACCGTGCCTGGCTAATTTTTTTCTTTAATTTTTTTAGAGAGACAGGGTCTTTGCTGTGTTGGCCAGGCTGTAGTGCCATGGCTGTTCACAGGTATGATCATAGCTAAATACAGCCTTGAACTCCTTGCCATAAGGGATCCTCCTCACTTAGCCTCCCAAGTAGCTGGGACTACAGGTGCATGGCAGTGTGCCTGGCTAATCTTTTAGTTTTTACTTTTTTGTAGAGATGTTATGTTGTCCAGGTGGTCTCAAACTCCTGGCCCCAAGCAGTCCTCCTGAAGCAGTGGAAATCATAGCCACTATGACTGGCCCAATTTTCCTATATGTACAACAGGAATTATGGTAGCTACTTTTTAAGGCTGCAAGATTAAATGAGATGATGTTTGTAAGGCCCCTAATAAAATTGGTGTAAGCTAAGCCCTCAGCAAGTGGTATTGATACCATGTTAGAGATGATGAAAGAGGAGAATTACGTATGTTAATTGTCTTCAAAATGCCTTACCTTCAATTTTTGGGAAATTCAGCATATTTCAAACAGAAATAAGATGTAAATTATATCCAATGCTTTAGTAACAGGATATTCCATCAGCGTATTAGTTCATCTTAGATATCAAGATAAAACAATACGTTGAAAGTGTGATAATGCAAATAAATGTAAATTTAAAAGTTTTTTAAAAGTTTTAACTTTTGTGGATACATAGTACATCTATATATGAGGTATATGAGATTTTTGATACAAGCATGTGATATAAAATAATCATCATGGAGAATGAGTTATCTATCCCCCCAAGCATAAATAAATGTAAATTCTGATGTTGAACTTATACACCAAATTGTTAGATTTTAGATTTTGCCCTCATTTTACTTAACCTTATTTTGCTTATATACTGCTTAAATCTTATAAATACTGTAATATAGTAAAATGTAGAGTATATGCCATAAAATTAACCTGAATTAGAGTATTTTTGCATGTATGAGGAAGCCTGTAAAGGACATAATAACTTTATATGTCTGTTCTCTAAAGTAAACATAGGCTTTTAATTTTAGCTATCCAGATAAAAGAACTTAGTATTTCAATGTCAGGAAAAATAAAAAAACTCCAATTAATCCTTTTACTTATTGTGATTGTCCTCTTAAGATATAGCCTAAGCCTTCTTCACTGTTAGAAGTCTTCATTCAATCCTGCTCAACTTACTCTCATAGATGACTTACTCGTGAAAATGTAGGTCATCACTTATGAAACCTCTTATCTTTGCCCATCCCTGCACCAGTATCGTCCGTAGCACTCCACCGTCTTCCCAGAACGTTTGTAATCCTCTGCCGCCTGTGCCCATGGTTCTACTCTCTGAATGGCACTTGTCCTATCCCTTTATGCAGATGTCCTTTTATCCTTTAAGCTTCAGCTCTGCTATCGCGTATTCTAAAAAAAGTTTCTATAAAAAATAAATACTTAAATAACTTGAAACTTCCTATAATTCCCTGATACCAGCTGGGACATTTAACCAGTAGCAGCTCAATTTTTATTATATTGGCTAAAATTTAAAATTTTTTATTTGTTTTGAATTTATTCAGATAACATCAAACTAGATACTGTGGCATGAGGTTATTCCTAAAGGAGTCTTCTTTGGAATGCTTTTTGAGATGGGTTTTTTCAAAAAGATTTCTCCTCTCATTTCAACCTAAGACCAACAGAAAATGAGTCTTATTTAGACACTAAATTGCTAATTTAACTTCTTAATTTGAAAATCATAAGTTTTTTTTATTTTTTAATGAGTAATTTAAATTTATTGGAATCAGTTCCTTAACGGTTTGATTTTTTAGCTTGTTATTTTTCAGAGAAACCAAGAATTGATGTAGTTTGAAATGGTTTTAAAATTTTGCGTGCCAATTGCACATGCACATTATGGTCATTTTTGAGTTTTTACTTAATCTGTTTCAAGTAACTGTAGCCCAAAATAAAATAATATAGTCCTAAATTCAATGTGTGGACAATTTTTGTGCTGTACTTCAAATTGCAGTAATATTCTTCTACAGCTAGGAGGCAATCTGGTCAAAGAGTAAAATTTATCTCCCAGTTCTCATGTGCAAATGAAATAATACACAGACTTTGGAAGGAGCACATAGTTTAACTCATTGCCTTTCCTGTGATACTTAAGGCACTGTTCGACATCTTTTGTTTGTAATTATGTAAAGTTACCTCTAGTTTCTTGACCACAAAGTCTCGGTTACTATTAAAGTAAGCCCTAGTTTTCTACTTGATCTTTTCATTAGTAGCTTTTTAATCACGTCTGTTGCTGAAAGAGGTCATTCTTTTCACAAAATTTCCGTCTTTGTGATAGTCATAAGAAGCGTAGTGTTGAACTAAAAAGCAATTTTTTATTTACATGTAACAGTGACTCTTTGTGTTAGAAATTAGGGGAAATAATAATTTCAGTTTGTATATATTAAAGAAGAATGAAATATTTATTTAGATTTATTTTTTCTAAAAATGATTTAAAGCTTTTTACAGAGAAGATAAGCAAACAAGTGAAAATAAATGTTAGTAATAAAGAGTCAAAGGGAAGGTAAAAAAAGAAAGCAAAATGGAGTTGGTACTGAGATTGGTACACAAAAATGTATATATGACTTGATGTCCTAAACATGCTTGAATAGGAAGGGGGGCTTCGTCTAGTAACATGAAGTTCATGGTTAGATTAGTACAAAAAGAAATGCTGTCAGATCCTGTGCCCTTAGTGTAAGGCGGCCACTAATTTGGCTCCAAACTTGGATGAAGAAGTGAAAAACCACTATAAAATGTACAGTGCCTATGAGGGTTAAAGAAACAAGAAGGACAATAGTTTCTGACACCAAGGACAAAATTGACTCTTGAGTGTCCTTCATAGAGCAGTGTGTCATATAAGAACGTGTAATCAACATATTTACATTGAAGGCAGTAAGTTTATTTTTATTTTGAGATGGAGTCTTGCTCTGTTGCCCAGGCTGGAGTGCAGTGGTGCTATCTCAGCTCACTGCAACCTCCACGTCAGGGTTCAAGCAATTCTCCTGCCTCCGCCTCCTGAGTAGCAGGGATTACCGGCCATCACGCCTGACTAATTTTTGTATTTTTAGTAGAAACAAGGTTTCTCCATGTTGGCCAGGCTGGTCTGAAACTCCTGAGCTCAAATGACCCACCTGCCTCAGCCTCCCAAAGTGCTGGGATTACAGGTATGAGTCCCAATACCCGGCAATAAGTTTATTTTTCGTAGGTGTATCATTTAGGTTCCTTGCAGAGGCCAGGGGTTTCGAGGTAAAGCAGAATTCAGTAACAGCAATTTTGTGCCAGATCAACTAGAAAAGGAAAAAACATTGACCTTTTAAGCTTTATTTGTATTTGTTTTTATATACTTTTAAAATATGTATCACTGATACCAGTGACAAACCTATCTAAATATTGATGATACTTTTTCTCCTTTTAGATTCTGAAAAAGAGTTCCACATCCTCCCTCGTCGAGTCTTTGTTCCCCTTCCTGGATCCACTGTAATGTTGTGTGATTATAAATTTGATGATGAGTCAGCTGAAGAAATCAGAGACCATTTTATGGAGATGTTGGATCATACAATTCAAATAGAAGATGTGGAAATCGCAGAGGAAATAAACACAGGTCATTATATGATGCTATTTAAGAACTTAATTAGATTACAGCTAAGATTACCTATGAGATGTCTAGTTTAAATATCATGTCTTTAGATTTTCTATAGCTAGTTCTATTTGACAGTTCAAAATATTAACAGACATTTAAAAATATATGTTTAATTTTTACATGTCTAGACATACAGTGAGTTTTTCCTAGGAAATTGAACCAAAATTTAAGATAGTAAGGTTTTTTCAAGCTTAGCAAGTAGATCTTAATAAAACAAGTTCAGCATTAGGTAGGTAAAATTACAAAGCTTTAAGGTATTTCTTTTAATATAAAAGTTTTCTCAAAATTCATGATCTTAAAGCATCATGTCAGAACAGAAAGTTTTAAAAATACCAATTTATTCAACATTTTCTCCATGTTATTTGCCTTTCTTTTCATATCCCTTTCATCTAATTGGGATACTAAGCCAAAATGGACAGTTCCAGAAATTAGATCAGTTTTATAGAGCATAGATTTGCTGTACTGTCTAAGCTCTGCAGCACGTTTTGTTCCCTAGCCGTTACTTTCACATCTGACTTTACACTTTGGAAAACTGTTTTGTTTTGTTTTGCTTTGCTTTCTTTTTGTTTCTAGTGAGTTCAGGGAATGAAAACATGTCCATAAATATGTATGTAAGTTCCTTTTCTGATTTCTTAGTTATTCCTCTTTGCATAGCTAATTCTTCCTTCAGGAACAGGTTGTTCGATTCAGAGTGCGCCTGAGATTATGGTGAGTCAAGTAAGTATTTGATTGGGGAACTTCAGGTCTCTCAGTAAACTGCCTCAAGTTGGGTGCAGACCACCCTCCAGTTTTTTTAGCAATGCCAGATTAGCACTGATGATGATGTAGAGCAAGAGTATGTTTCACTGGGGAAAGTAAACTATTGTAAATTGCCCAGTGCCTGATGTTAAAATAAAGGAGCAACTACTTTCTAATCCCATGAAAACTAATATTTTTAAAGATATAACTGTAGAATATTCTCTAGCAGATGGAAAATGTCTGCTTTTTGAAAGTAGACTGGTAAAAATGTTTACTGCTTTCCAAAATTTCTTTTCCCTGGTTAGTGACTGCACTATCTCTGCTAACCAAACTTAGAATCATGAGGGCAAGAATTTTTGGTTTGTTCACTTCTCTGTTGATAGTGCCTGGCAGTAGTTCTTGAGCCGTTCTGTTGTTGAATAGATCTTATAATGTTGATGGGATCATTAGAATTGACCTAATTTAACCTCTTAATACTGAAAACTATATCCCTAGTAGATGGGGATTCAGATTCTATTCTTTTTTATTCCAAATCCTAATCTGCCTTTCTGTAACCTATTCTTTCTTCAGTGATATGCAGCAATAAAACCTGAGTACCGCTTCCTCACTGAGACCATGCTTTAAATTTGAGAGCAACGACTGTGTCCTAAATATTTCAAAGCCACATATTCTCACATACTTTTAACTGTTCTTTTTATTAGTTTCCAGTCCACGTTTTTTTCTTACCACCTTGTTTGCCATCAATAGATTAGAAATTTTAAACCTGTGGGGTCCAAAACCCTTGATGTCAGAGCTGACTTTTAGAAAGTCCACAAATCACTTGAAAGTAATTATATGATTTCTTTTCTGAAGAAAAGGTCTGTAGCTTTCAAAGAGTTGATAACTAAGAAAAATTAAAAATTACTTGTTCAATATACTCCGGTATGCCTTTCTTGAAATATGTTACCCTGAATTGAAGCTTATACTAATATCAGCTGCTATTTATATATCTGCCAGGCACAGTTTTAAGCATCTTACAAGTACTAAATTATCATTCCTTATTTAACCCTGTAAAGTAAATATATTATTGTCTTATTTTCCGGATGAGAGAATTGAGGCTCGGGAAGCCCAGGTAACTTTTCAAAGTTACGTTGCTTGTCACGGTGCAGCTGGAATTTCAACTTAAGCACTTTAGTTCTAGAGTCTGTGCTTCTTTTCCAAAAATGTTGTTTTACTGCCTTTCTCTAGGAGATAAATAATGAAGTGTAGTATGATTACTGTCCATGATCTAGATCTCTATTTTAGCCTGACATTCTTCATTCCATCCCTTCAAAATTTTCAAGTGTAAATGAATGATGTTACATTATCCTGGTTTAATTTCATCTAGATTATGACAGTATAATTTCTCATTTGTTGGCTGGAATCTTGGATCTCTTATTATTTATGTTTATGTGTAAATATATAAATTATATATAATGTTTATAATATACACATGCACATATATAAACGTAATATAAACATTTTTTATGTTTATATATGAAAAAGTTTATATATATAAACATGTTTGTTTATAAGTAAATATATGTTTATTAAAATATATAATATAAACAATATATAAAATATTGTTATAAAATAAAATATTAAAATATACAGTGTTTATCTATAATTTTTCAAATTATTTGTCACATTCTTAGTGCATATCACATTCTTAAACTAAGAATGACCAAGGGTAGCACTGTATGCAAAACTTGCCCCATTCCTAAGTTACTTTAAAAGTCAGATATGAAAGAATAGGAAGAGAGAGTGATTTCATATAGGTTTTTTTTTTTTTTTTTTTTTTTTGAGACAGAGTCTTACTCTTTGCCAGGCTGGAGTGCAGTGGTGTGATCCCAGCTCACTGCAACTTCTGTTTTCTGGTTTCAAGCAATTCTTCAACCTCAGCCTCCCAAGTAGCTGGGACTACAGGCATGCACCACCACACCTGGCTAATTTTTTTTTTTGTATTTTTGTAGAGACAGGGTTTCACCATGTTGGCCAGTATGGTCTCTTGACCTCGTGATCCGCCTGCCTCGGCCTCCCAGAATGCTAGGATTACAGGCAGGAGCCATCGCGCCCAACCTCATCTAGGTTTTTTAAAGAATTTTTAAAAATATTTCTGTCTTAAGAAGTATTTTTAACTCGTTTAATTTTATGTTGTATGTTAAACATAGATATATAGACTACTTTGTATTTTATCCAGTGCTTTTGAAGCTATATTTTAACAAACAGTTAATAACAGGTTAATATTCTTTCTTTATACTGCTAAGACGTTTTAAAAAATTTAGCCTGGGCAGCATGGTGAAACCCTGTCTCTACAATAAAAATACAAAAATTAGCTGTAGAGGCTTCATTTACATCACTGCAGTCCAGCAGAATAAGACCCTGCTCAAAAAAAAATTAAAAATTAAGTAGCTTTGACCACTGTGATGTATTCCTAAGAGGTAGCTATTGCAACCTGGCATGACAGTCTCCCAGAAACAAAACTTAAACCCAATAAGTTCAGATTCTTACGAAACCATTATATGTGCATTTCAGAAAACATCTGTCGAGAGAGCAAAAGGACCTTTGCCTCTCTTGCTTACAGCTGTGTTTCTAGCACTTTACTAAGAGCTTAGCCTTAGCACATCATAGGTACTCAGTAAATATTTGTTGACTTAATAAATTATTTATTTTGTCATTCCTAGGGGTTGGGGTCTAAACAAAAGGAGCTAAATAGAGTTTTTTTTTAAAAGTTTGTGTAGATACTGTATTTTTACTATCTTCAGACTAGTTCAGACTACGTTAACACCTTCACTAAACTTTCTTGTAGTTCCCTTTTCTATGCCATTCTCCTATAATACTTTACATACTTGTAATTAAATCATCAATTGCATATTTAATATTTATCTTTCACATTAGACTGTAAGGTTTTTGAGCGTAAGTATTTATTTATCTGTGCCTAAAACCTGGTAGGTGTTCCTAAGTATTTGTTACTGAATAAATGATTCTTAGGAAACTACAGCACATCTTGTTTTCACATTTATTTTATGCTTTAGGAATTATAAGCTTATGCTGGGCCGGACAAGGTTTTTAAGGTTTGTGTAGTATAGTTTACTGAACACGATGAAGGTTTAAAAAGGATGTAATAGTCATAGCTGTATGGCTCAGTAGTTCAGAACATTTTCAGGAGTATTGAACATTTAAAAGACATGAAACTGCATCTTGTATATGAAAATGTGTAGCACTAGTTGTTGCCCCAGAAATTTTAACCTAGTTTACTGCATTTAGTATGTCCATTTATCAGATGTTTATTAAGCTTATGCTCTGTTCAAGACAATATGATAGATATGAATCAATAACTTGACTCCTTTCCCTTAGAAGCTTAGAGGAAAGATAGAATGTATATGCATGAATAGTTATGCAGATAATATAGTACGGTCCTAAGAGTGTCTAAGAACTCCATCAAGATTAGGGATCAGAATTTTGGTGTCTCTAGTGATTTGGCTAATAATTTAATCAGGAAAAAGTCTTATAAGCATTAGCAGTAATCTATGATATACAGTAACAAAGTTTTAGCATTGCTATTTTAAAAGTTCAGTAAATTATTTCCCTTTTTTTATTCTTTATCACAGCTGAGTATCCCTAATCTGAAAATCTGAAATCTGAATTGCTCCAAAATTTGAACCTTTTTGAGCATTGATATGATGCTCAAAGGAAATGTGCATTAGAGCATTTCAGATTTTGGATTTTTGGATTAGGAATGGTAAACTGGGGTACTGCAAATATTCCAGAATTCAAAAAAATCTGAAATCTGAAACACTTGTGGTCCCAAGCATTTTGGACAGGGAATACTCAACCCGTACTACTTTTATATTTCACCTCAGCTGAAAGGTCACCGAAAACACACACCAGTTTTATAAATGGATGCTCTGTAGTATACAGGAATAATTCTACTTGCATCCAAAGTCCCATAGTTTTGAATGATGTTTAGTTTTGCAAGTAAATGAAAGTTTTAATATTAGCCTCAAAACATTATAATTTTTTCCCATTACTGTCAGATGTAAATGCTATTATCTATTGAATTGCTTTTATCATTTATATATGTACTAAATATATTTTAGTCCTCTTTCTTGGCTTCCTTCAGTAAGCTTTATCATTATCGTTATTTATACCTTGTAAATATCTTAAAATAACTTAAAGATATGAAATATCTTAAAATAACTTAAAAATCTTAGATAACATATAAATATTATTACATAGGTCTGCTTTGTGGATTTTAATTTTCATAAACTGTTAACATTAAAACTTACATGTTTCACACTTTATTTAAAAATTATTTACTGTCGTACTTTTTTATGCTGACAGTCTAGTATAGAGATGGATTAACAGTAGGAAGAGTTTAATATTACAAGAACAAAGGAAGCAAAACAGCAATTTGGAAATTTTAGGTGTGTATACTTACATGTATGCCATATTAAACTCATGGTTTCTAGATACTACACATTTTACTAATATTGTATAATGTATTGAAGGTACTACTTCAGTGTGGTAGGTATGATCCTTTCGGGATACTGCCCTGTTTTTAAAACTTACATGAATCTCAAGTGAGTGAGTGAGTGATAACTATTTGTTGGCTGCCTATTATGTATTAGGCTTTAGGAGTCTAGAGATAAAGTAGATAGTTCTGACTCTCAAAAAGCGCACAGTGTAATGGGAAATACAAAGGAATGGATTATTCCAAAACAGTGTGGCCAGTATACTTCAATGTGCTGATCCCTGGTTTTATTATTATTAACTAATTATTTGAAATTATTAACTGCTGGAACCACTAATAATTCTATAAGAGAAGAATGAACAGGGAAGTACCAGAACTCTTAGCAGAGGCACTATCTCTGTAAGGGATTCAGGGAAAGCTGCTTAGAGCTTTTGAATTCATTTTGAAGGATGAATACAAGTAAAAGTAGCTTTTTAGGAATTGAACACTGGTATGAGATGTATAGCAACCAAGAATATGACTTACCGAGAAGTGTACTAGGTTCGCTTCATCAAGTATTTGTTAAATTAGAAGGAATGATTTAGTAATTCTGCGTATTTATTATAAAGAACACATTCTCAAATAGAATAATAACATACATTTTAATAGAAAAATTAAGTGCTTTTACATAAACATCCTATTGGTTTAGAATTATATGCACTTATTCACTCATTTACTCATTCATTTTTTTATTCTAATTTTTTAGAATAAAATTTTTTATTCTAATTATTTACTTATAGATATTAGATGTCATAATTTTATGAAGATAATGTCCAGGGTTAGGCCTGCCACTTGTATTTAAGGTTACAGGTTGGATATTCCCTAATCTGAAAGTCTGAAACACAAAATTCTCGAAAATCAGAAACTTTTTGAGCATGAACATGAAACTCAAAGGAAGTATACTCATTAGAACATTTTGGGTTTTGGATTTCAGATTAGGGATGCTCAAACAGTAAGTATAATGCAAATATTCCAAAATTTTTTAAAAAAGGACTGAAATCTAAAACACTTCTGGTCCCCAAGCACTTCAGAGAAGGGGTGCTAAACTTGTATTATTTATCTGATTATTACTTATTTCTGTTCTATAGTATAGTTGCCAAGTAGTTGCTATGTTTAAAATACATAGTTGCCAAGTAAGTATCTTAAAATAACATACTTTTAAATGACTTAATAGATGAAGAACAGTTTGTCAGAATGACTCACTTGAGGTGAGGTTAACTATGGCTTTAACATTTCTTAGCTGTGCTAGTCATCTGCTAGTAGATATTAAGTTCAATGTACTTTATCAACAGTACCACCTAAAAAATTTGAAGTCACACCTTTAAAATCTGGTGAGCCATTTTTAAAGTATTTTAGTTATATTCTTGAAGAGGAAAAAGAAAAAAGAATGGTGGTGCCCTTGATTCTAATAAGATAATTTACTGCGAATTATTTATGAAAATCGTAAACTTTATGGGAAGTGAATGAGAAGTAGGTAATTTTTTTTGCTTTTCTTCCTTGTTGGTGTCATACATGCTTATTTCAGTAAGTTCATATGTCATTCTTGTGAGCTTGTGCTAGTATATTGGGGTACAAAGATGTCTATAAAAACGTAAATTCAATGGCTGGGCGTGGTGGCTCACGCCTGTAATCCCAGCACTTTGGGAGGCCGAGGCGGGTGGATCACGAGGTCAAGATATAGAGACCATCCTGGTCAACATGGTGAAACCCCGTCTCTACTAAAGATGCAAAAAATTAGCTGGGCACGGTGGCGCGTGCCTGTAATCCCAGCTACTCAGGAGGCTGAGGCAGGAGAATTGCCTGAACCCAGGAGGCGGAGGTTGCGGTGAGCCGAGATCGCGCCATTGCACTCCAGCCTGGGTAACGAGAGCGAAACTCCGTCTCAAAAAAAAAAACAAAAAAACGTAAATTCAAACAATAGGCTATTTTACTTTGAATTTAAACAGTAATATTTACTATCTCTCACTCTTGAATTCCCTCTCTCTCTTTTTCTTGTGGGGGGTCAGGTAAATAAAGAGATAAATCTAAAATAGTTCCTTTCATAACCTAGTTCCCTTGAGTTCTATAGAGTAGCTTTCTAACTGTTATCTCTAGGATGGAAGAAAGGAGCTGGTCTGACTCCGGGAGTCATCCCTCCCAGCTTCAGCCTGACCAGCATGCTTTCATCTATTTACACACTGGGATTTTCTGTCAGATTTTCTTTGATTTCATAGGATTCCTCAGCCCTAGGGGAAAAAAATTGGAAACTCTTGGCCTGCATGGTCTCTGAGGATGTTACCAGTTCACACACTTTCATTCAGTGTTAAATAAATTTGAATAGGCCAACATGCATAAATCGCTGTCAGCATAATGGAGAAGAAAGAGAACTTGTGTCCAACTCATCAGTCAAATGCCTGATGCTCAGCTAAGCACTTACCCTCCCAGGTTATGTTTTTCGTTTGTAAAGTGAGATGGTATCCTTGCCTTGCTTACCACTCAGAGTGGTTTTAAGGTCAAATTTTTTATCATAGTTTAAATTTCAAGTTGGACAAAGAGTCAGCAAACTTTTTTTGTACAAATAACAAATATTTTAGGCTTTGTGAGCCACATAAAATCTTTTTCACATTTTTTTAACAGTCTTTTAAAAATATAAATATAGATGTTTAATTTAAGACCTTTACAAAAATAGATCTTGAGCCAGATTTGGCCCATGTACTATAATATGCTGGTCCCTGATTTTATTAATACCTAATTATTTGAAATTATTAATTGCTAAAACCACTAATAAGAATGATAGAAATTAAGCCAGGCACGGTGGCTCAGGCCTGTCATCCCAGCACTTTGGGAGGCTGAGGTGGGTGGATCACTTGAGGTCAGGGGCTCAAAACCAGCCTGGCAAACATGGCATAATCCCATCTCTATTAAAAATCCAAAAATTAGGCCAGGTGTAGTGCCTAACGCCTATAATCCTGCACTTTGGGAGGCCAAGGTGGGTGGATCACTTGAGGTCAGGAGTTCGGGACCAGCCTGGCCAACATGGTGAAACCCCATCTCTACTAAAAATACAAAAGTTATCTGGGCATAGTGGCGCATGTCTGTAGTCCCAGCTACTCAGGAGGCTGAGGCAGGAGAATTGCTTGAACCTGGGAGGTAGAGGTTGCAGTGAGCTGAGATCATGCCATTGCACTCTAGCCTGGGCAGCAGAATGAGACTCTGTCTCAAAAAAATAAATTAATTAAATGAAAATACAAAAATTAGCCAGGCATGGTGGTGTGCGCCTATAATCCCAGCTACTCCAGAGGTTGAGACAGGAGAATCACTTGAACCTGGAAGGCGGAGGTTGCAGTAAGCCAAGATTGTGTCACTGCACTCCAGTCTGGGTGACAGAGCCGGACTCTGTCTCAACAACAACAAAAAGAATGATATAAATTAATCTCAAGTAACAGTGAAGTTTACTTTGCTATGAATTTTGGCATAAATTTACTACCATATAGTAAACAAATTACAATTTTTTTTCTTTTTTGAATATGGAGTCTCGCTCTGTCATCCAGGCTGGAGTTACAGTGGCACTATCACAGCTCACTATGGCCTCCACCTCCCAGGTTTAAGCAATTCTCCTGCCTCAGCCTCCTGAATAACTGGATCTATGCTGCCATGTCCAGCTAACTTTTTTGTATTTTAGTAGAGATGGGGTTGCACTGTGTTTCCCGGGCTGATCTTGAACTCCTGAGCTCAGGCAATCCGCCCGCCTCAGCCTCCCAAAGTGCTGGGATTACAGGCATGAGCCACCACACCTGGCCAACAAATTATGATTTTTGAAAGTTACTCAGAACTGGCTGTGTGGCCGTCTGGTTTAGTTCGATGATAAAGCCACATTAAATGTTTTGAAAACTGTCAATTTGACATATATTCCATTAAATTTAATTCACCTACAGTTGATAATGAACAAATTCGTTGTTATATAAAAAACAAGTTGAATGAAAATGGTGTTGATTGGCCGGGCGCGGTGGCTCAAGCCTGTAATGCCAGCACTTTGGGAGGCCAAGGCGGGTGGATCATGAGCTCAAGAGCTCGAGACCATCTTGGTCAACATGGTGAGACCCCGTCTCTACTAAAAATACAAAAAATTAGCTGGGCATGGTGGCGCGTGCCTGTAATCCCAGCTACTCAGGAGGCTGAGGCAGGAGAATTGCCTGAACCCAGGAGGCGGAGGTTGCGGTGAGCCGAGATCGCGCCATTGCACTCCAGCCTGGGTATCAAGAGTGAAACTCCGTCTCAAAAAAAAAAAAAAAAAGAAAATGGTGTTGATTGTCTTTTATAATGTTCTTTAAAACTCGGTTTAAAGTGTTAATCCTTATTTTACGTAGAATTTATTATTATTTTACTCTTTCAGTTTGTGTGAGTTCCTCTGTGAATAGTCAAGCTTCATTGGACAACACAGATGAAGAACAACGAAAACAGCCAATTAAAACTACAATAGTATTGAAAATTCAGCAAAACATAGGTATTTCATTTTACTTCTTTTATAACACTGAAGACACATTTGAACTTGAGTTTTTCTGTTACTTTACAATTATTTGTGTTTCATTTTGCTTTCTTAAGAGTGCTAGACTTAGCCAGTATTTATTGGCTATTATGGATGGAAAGTGCCAGGCCCTAGAGATAGGAAGACTTAATAATTCATACATTGTCATCCAAGTGCCCTCAAAGATGACACATCTTATTAATTTTTAAAATGTTTTTAAAAGAAAAAGATGCAGAGTTTTGGGAATCAGTTAGTATGGTAGGGCTAATGCTTTATAGACTGGTATTCCTAGAGTTACTACCACAGGAGATTTTGATGTATGTTCTATGCCAAAAAATGTCAAATTCAAGTCAAGAATTTTATAATGTAATTTTATATTTTAAGGGCTCTAAGAAATGCAGAATTACTGTAACATTTTTCAGACCTTTTGAACAAAGACTGTTGTTTAGCAGAATAACAGTTTGAAATATACTAAGTATTAAGACCCCTGACTGAGAGTTAGGAGCCAAAACATTTAATTGTAGTTCTTATCATTCATTAAATGTAATTAAATTTGTTGTGCATGTCTGTGTGTGTATGTGTGTGTCTGTCTGTATCTGTCTGTCTAGACTACTATGGTCAGTTTCTTTCTTTAGCTTACTATAATCAGGAAAAAATAAAAGTTACAAGGACGTTCCAATTCTTAGATTTTATAGTGGTCAAACATGGACTTCTGCAGTTTTTCTTTTTTTTTTTTTGAGACGGAGTTTTACTCTTCTTACCCAGGCTGGAGTGCAGTGGCGCGATTTCGGCTCACCGCAACCTCCGCCTCCTGGGTTCAGGCAATTCTCCTGCCTCAGCCTTCTGAATAGCTGGGATTACAGGCACGCGCCACCATGCCCAGCTAATTTTTTGTATTTTTAGTAGAGATGGGGTTTCACCGTGTTGACCAGGATGGTCTCGATCTCTTGATCTCATGATCGACCCGCCTCGGCCTCTCAAAGTGCTGGGATTACAGACTTGAGCCACCGCGCCCAACCCTTCTGCAGTTTTTCAATAGCTACACAGTGGCTTTACATTATAATGACTGAGAACTACTGCCTACTAGCGCTGCCTTTTTTTTTTTAACCTAAGTAGCATAAGACAGCTGGTATGACAATATAAATAATTATATAAACCCTTTAAAGTGTTTCTTTTTTTTTTTTTTTTTTTTTTGAGACGGAGTTTCGCTCTTGTTACCCAGGCTGGAGTGCAATGGCGCGATCTCAGCTCACCGCAATCTCTGCCTCCTGGGTTCAGGCAATTCTCCTGCCTCAGCCTCCTGAGTAGCTGGGATTACAGGCATGCACCACCATGCCCAGCTAATTTTTTGTATCTTTAGTAGCGACGGGGTTTCACCATGTTGACCAGGATAGTCTTGATATCTTGACCTCGTGATCCACCCGCCTCGGCCTCCCAAAGTGCTGGCATTACAGGCTTGAGCCACCGTGCCCAGCCAAAGTGTTTCTTATTTTTTCTCTTAAATACATCTCCGTGCATATGTGTGCAAGAGAGATACTTTGCCCAACATTCGAAATCTAATTTTTCAACTTATTGCTGTATTTTTCTCTAAGATGTTGCTGCCTTTTAGTACATACATATGTATGTGTACGTATGATTGTGTGTTTGTGTGTTGCTTTTGAGGCCCATCAGTTACCCACATTTCAGAGCCTAGGATTAGTTCAGCCTTTCTTTTGCTCATTCCATATTCATTCGTTCTGTGTTTGTTTTACTTTTAGGTGTGATTACAGCATTTACAGTTGCAGTCCTTGCTGCTGGTATCTCCTTTCATTACTTCAGTGATTAGGGTGAGAGGCACAAAGATTTTCTTGATCATCCAGAGAACATTGACAGACAATTATGAACAATCAAGATGTTGACAGTCTACCTATATTTAAAACAGTAGCAGCCAGATCTGCTGCCATGATGCCTATTAGGTGTGTTTCTGACTAAAATGAAATCACAAGCTGCCTTGTTTAGCCTGCTTTAAATTGTAGGTGGCCCATGTTTCCAAAAATAAAGTTATGCTTCTAGATGGAAGCTGCATGTAACAAATCATTATTATCTATTTGTTACAAAGTTCAAAATGATGGGATATGATCATTGATTTTTAGTCTTACTAATCTGAATCACATATTAATCAGGACATTAAAACTTGAACAGAGGCCAGGCATGGTGGCTCAGACCTATAATCCCAACACTTCGGGAGGCTGAGGCAGGAAGATCACCTGGGACTAGGAGGGAGTTGGAGACAGGCCTGGTTGATATAATGATGTTCCGTTTCTACCACAAAAAAAAAATACCTGGACATGGTGGCATGCACCTCTAGTCCCAGCTACTTGGAGGCTGAATCAGGAGGATTACTTGAGTTTGAGGCTGCAGCAAGCTATGATCGCATCACTGTACTCCAGCCTGGGTGACAAAATGAGACCCTGTCGCTAAAATAAATAAGTAAATTTTAAATACAAAAAAATGGTAACTTCAACAGTCAATGTTGATGCAACGTCTAATAATGATAGGGCACCAGGAGAAATTTCTACCGAGTGATGAGACAACCACCTTAGGATAGGTTCATCCTCTGGGACCTTTCTGATGTTCACTCAGTTCCCATATACTGTGAGTTTTGTTCTGATCAAGGGGTAGGGAACCTTTCCAGAGAGATTCTGTTAATAAGAAATGACATAAAATTTGTGCTTTCTCAGGTTACTGTATCATAATTTTAAAAATATATTTAATATATAAAATAAGATTTTGCTTCCAGCAAGTATGTTAGACTAGCTGTTATAAAACAACTAGATCCTGAATAAATTCTACTTTTGAATAGGTTCACAGGAAGTAGGAGAACTTTCAAGAACCGTACTTCTACCTTTCCTTTGCCACAAACCATGAACACATTTTAAGGTAGGAGTCATGAATACTATATTAACCATTCAAGTGGACTGTGATTGGATGGCAGATACCAATGGCAACACTGCCATATGCAGTTTGTCTCAAATCAGAAACAAGAAGAGATGTGAACCTGAGATGCTGCCCTAGATAGGACAGTTAAAGAAGATTGAGTGGCCCTCAGTTTGTAGTACTCTAGCTCCTGGCAGAAGCAAGAAACATTCCTAGTTTAGTTCCAAGACTCCTATAGATTATTATCAAGTAGTAGTATTTTATGACTAGAGATCAGAGGCACAAGTTGAAACAAGCTAACATGACAAGGGAGCTATAGAAAAAATAAACATTGAACTCAGTTCTTCAAGGTTTCATCACAAGATAAGAAATGAAGTTGGAACCGTAGGCAGATCTGAAAAAGAACCAAATAGAACTTGAAATGAGAAATATTTATTGAAATATGAAAAAAGCTCTCAGACATATTGAATATTATATTGGACTCGGCTGGAGAGACAAGTGAACTATAAGCTGGATCTAAAGAAATTACCCAATGAGCAACCAGGAGATAGAAAACATTAGAAAATTAAGAGAGTTGGGGGGAAGAATTATAAAGACTAGGAACACTAGAAGGAGAGAATTTAGAGAATGAAGGAGAGGCAATACTTGAAGAGACAACACAATTTTCCAAATTTGTTGGAAAAACATGAATTCATAAATTCAGGAAGCACAGTATATACCAAACATCTAATTAAATAAAATCCAGGCCTAGACTCAAGGTTGTAAATGACAAGATACCAAACACAAGATTTTAAAAGCAGCCATGGGGAGAAAAAGATCAGCAATGAAGGGAAGACAGTCAAATACTTAGTAGGCTTCCTAACAGCAACAGTGTACCCAAAAGAGGGTAGAATTCCGAGAAAAACTATTAGCTTAGAATTTGCTACAAGCAAAACTGAAACAAACACATGCTGAGATGAAAAACAGATATTATCTTCAGCAGAACTTCAGCCAAAAGACTACAAAAGGATGATCTTCAAAAAGGAAAATGATTCTACAGGGTGATCTGAAATTGAAGAACTAGTGAGCAAATAAATGATAAACATGTAAATTTAAACTTGTTTGTATAAAGCAATTATAATGAAAAGTAATTGTAAACAATTGTAAAACTAAATAAACATTGTTATGCAACATTAGTAATGTCTATTTTTTTAATAAGGATATAATTGAAAAACTGGACAATAGCTCCTGGCTGGCAGAAGGGTGTGATTGGAATTAGAGTGTTCTGAGTTCTTTTATTCAGAAAACTGGTTAAGAATGCTGTTTAACCTTAAAATTGATTATGTTATAATACATATGTGTAGTCAAAGTTCAAGGGTAACTGCCACAAGAATAGATAGGGGATTGGCCAGGCACGGTGGCTCACTCCTATAATCAGCGCTTTGGGAGGCTGAGGCGGGCAGATCACTTGAGGTCAGGAGTTTGAGACCAGCCTGGCCAACATGGTGAAAGCCTGTTCTACCAAAAAATAACAAAAATTATTCGGGCATGATGGCATGCTCCTGTAATCCCAGATACTCTGGAGGCTGAGGTGGGGGAATCACTTGAACCTGGGAGGCAAAGGTCGCAATGAGCCAAGATGACGCCACTTCACTCCAGTCTGGGTGAGAGTGAGACTCCATCTCAAAAAAAAAAAGAGGATTGGGGGGATGAATCATTCCAAAGGAAAAGAAATTTAAAATACAGAATAGGTATGCAATAACCTAGTACCAATAAAGGAAGAAATTATGGAGGTGGGGGGGTGAAGTTAGAAAGTAAAATAATAGTAACAAATCTAATACTAATTAAAATAAATATGAATATACAATTATCCAATTAAATGACAGCATTGGTCAGATTTTTTTAAAAATACAATATTTTAGGTTAAAAACACCTAAAATATTAGACATGGGTAGTTGAAAGTTAAAATTTTTTTAATGCAGTAGGTAAATACTAAAAACTCATGTAACTTTAGTGATACTAAATAAAAATAGATTTATGATATTAAAGATCGAGAAGACCACTAAAAATAGTAAATGGATCAATTTACTAGGTATATATAACAATTTTCAGTGTGTATCTATTATATGAAATGGCCTCAAAATGTATGAACTGAAGCAACAATAGGGCTGAAGCAACAAATTGAACAACAGTGGGAGATTTCAACAACTAGTGATTGAAAAAGAATTAGTGAAAGCATTTTAATGTGATACTGATTCAATAAACATTTAGAATAACATATTCAACAATTAATATTTTTCTTAAACATTGTATATTATCAAAAATTGACCATGTATTTTCAGCACGAAGCAAGTCACAAAACATATCAAATAATTGGTATTAAATGGATAATCAGAAACAAGTAGAGGTCAGTAATAAAGGTTAAATTTTTTAAAATCTTACATGTTGAAATCTTCACAGAGGAGAAAAGGAAAAATTTAAAACCTAGTTACAAGTAGTATATATATTTTTAAATTGGGTATTGCAGGGGAAACGGCACTATGAGGAAAATGGCTTTAAATGCTTGAATGGAGGGAAAAGACTAAATGTGTAAATTAGAAAAATAGTAGCAAAAGCAATGTAGGAGCAAGAATATACAGGTAAGGGAATAAATCAATGAATATGAAAATGATAATCATGTCAAAGTTGTTTTCATGATAAAAATGGTGAAACTGGCATAATTGAACAAGATGAAACAGGACACAAACAACATAAAGACTGGAAAAGGGGTCCTAATCCGTAGATAGAGGAAGAATGAAAAAGTGACTACCAGGAGCATCTTAATGCTAATGTATTTGAAAACTTAGACAAAATAGACCAAACTCTAGAAAACTGCAGTTTACTTGAATTGGCTCAAGAAGAAATAGAAAAGCTGAATATACTTATTCGTAGGTTGAATAGTAAACAATAATTAACTTTTTGGCAAGAACTGGCACAGGTTTACAGGTAAGTTTTATCCCTCTTTCAAGGGGGTAAATTCCAACATTTTATACAAGCTCTTTCAAAAATGGCTAATGAGGGAGTACTTTCCAGCATATCGTGTGAGGGTGGTATAACTTACTGATACTAGAATCAGAGACATTCAGTAGGAGAAAATAAAATTACTGGCTAATAGCACTAACACATGTAAAAGTCAAAAGCACTGTTAATAAACTTTGACATATTAAAAGAGGTAGTGCATTATGGATAAGTTGTATACCTTTAAAATCAGGAACACAAGGATGGCTATTACCACTTTTTTGGGGTCTGGGAGGGATGGAGACTTGCTCTGTCCCCCAGGCTGGTGTGCAGTGGTGAGATCTTGGCTCATTGCAACCTCTGCCTCCCGGGTTCAAGCGATTCTCTTGCCTCAGCCACCTGAGTAGCTGGGATTACAGGCGCCCGCCACTACGCCCAGCTAATTTTTATATTTTTAGTAGAGACAGGGTTTCACCAAGTTGGCCAGGCTAGCCTTGAACTCCTGACCTCTGGTGATCCACCCTCCTTGGCCTCCTAAAGTGCTGGGATTACAAGCATGAGCCACTGAACCCAGCCACCACTTATTTATCATTGTCCTATAGAAATATATGCAAAAGACAAATCAGGTATTTTCAGAGGATGTGGCTGAACTCGTGAAAAGATGTTTAACCTCATAAGTGATTGGCTAATTAAAACCAGAATGAATAACATTTTATGTTCAATAGATTGAAAACTTAAAGAAATATGAAATAGCCATAAAGATAATGTGCCTCAGTCTTTCACACTGGAGGCAGGATTTTGAACTGATAGGCTCTTCAGAAAGCAATTTGGCGCACTCTTTCAGAGTTAAGCATTCACGTACCCTTCCCGTTCTACCTCTACATAAATACCTTAGAGAAATTCTTGGATACATGTACCTTAGGAGTACACGTGTAAGAATGCTCACGACAGCCGTGTTTTTAACCACTCACGTCTACTGATAACAAAAAATAAATTAGGGGTTTTGTAATTTTATTCAACAGGGAGAATGACCTACATGCAACAACAAAGTAATCTTTAAAGTGATAAAGCAAGTCTCAGAAGTCTACACAGAGTATGCTACAGTTTTTATAAAGCTACAAAGGAAACCTAAACCATATTATGTAGAAATATGTATATTTGTGATAAAACTTTCTTTTAAAGAAGTCATAAAATTTGGGACAGTGGCAAGGTGTAGCACATGAATACATAAAACAATATTAGTGATGCTTTCATTCTTGGGTAATGGGTTTCTTGATCTTAATTTCATTTACTTAATGGCACTAACATAAATTGTGGTGGGTAGTCTGTTACTAACAAAATACCTCAAACTTAATTGGCTTAAAATAACAACCATTTCACTGGCCTCAGAATTCTGTGAGTTGACAGGAATCTGCTGGCTGGTTTTGTTCCACATGGTAATGACTTTCGCTGCAGTTATCTAGGGGCTTGATTGGGCTTGAAGCATCTGAGATACTCATGCACATGATTGGCAGTTAATGGTGGCTATCAGCTGGGAATTCAGCTGCCACACCTCAGTTTATGTGACTTCTCCATGGGACTTGGAGTTCTTCCAGTTGTGGTTGCTGGGCTTGTAATCGTTTATGGCTGGGATCCAAGAAGCAGCATCCCAAGTGTAAGCGTTTCAGGAAGAGGAAAATGGAAGCTAAGTCCTCTTGGGGCCATAGCTTGGAAGTCCTAGAACATTATTTTCACTGCGTCGTATTGGTCAAAGTAATCTACAGGGCCAGCTTAGCTTAAAGAAGGAAAAAAGCCCTTTTTGATGGGAAGGGGACACACATATACAAACAAGAAAGAAACTGATGGCAGAAATCTTTGGTAGTTATAATGTACGCCCTGGCCATAGCAATTTATGTTCCCATGGAAAATTTTTCCACCACCTCACAGGAAACTAAGTTAAAGTCTCATCTCAATATGACATCAGTTTCAAGCTCAAGACCCAGAACTTCATCATCTAAACTAGTTTCAGTTACATATGCCGTGCCTTTACTACAGTTTCTCTCAATCGGAAAATGTGTGAAACTAAAAATAAGTTTTCTTTCTCATCACCCAGCCTACAGTGGTGAGTTAGGCAATATACACTCTTGTTTAAAAAGAGGAAAAATGAGAGGTACATAGCAGTGAATGGTTCATAGCAATTCTGAACTCCATTTGGGCACGTTTTATTCCTCGTGATTCTGGGAGCAGAGAATGTATGTCGATTAGGGTGTAATTCTACTTGAGAGGGGTTCTTAGTTCTTGGCTCTTCCCTGTATGATCTTTATTTTACTCTGAGCCATCTTTTTCCATGAGAAATTGCTTTGTGTTTGAAGCTGAGTAGGCTTCTCAAACTGCTTCTTGATTTTCAGAGGTTGAAGGCCCAGAAGTCTTCAGCTTGAACTGTGTATGTCTTTTTTAGTGTAAGCTGATGTAATTCATTTTAAAACCTCTTGTGTTCCCTTTGAATTGAATTATAATCCACTCCATTAGACAAAATTCATACTGGTCTCTTCAAGACAGGCCTCTCTCTAATTTGAACTGAGAGGATGTTGAGGAGCAGCACCCTTAACTATCTTACTGTCGAGCAAAGTGATCTACAAATTGTGCTCATAAGATTCTTAGAAGTCTTTTTGTCTGTCTAAGAGGTCTATGGTTTAAATATTTCTGAAACCTTAAAGGATATTACAGATGTACCACTGATTCTAAATTATCCTAATTTATGCTTTACTAACAATTCTCAATTTGATCTTTGCCAAGGTGATTTCTTCCTTGAGAAACTCTTGCTGGCTGGAAAAATATTTTATTTGCACATTGTATATTTTCTACACATTTTTCTCCAAAACTGAAGTTTCTTATTTAGTTTATTTCTTCTCGTATCTGACGATAAGTAGCTAGAAGTAGTCAGGTGGCATTTTGAATGTTTGCCTGGAAGTCTTCTTAGATAGATTCACAAATTTATTAGGTTACATTTTCCCTTTAGCAATTGCCATGAGCTTACTAGTTCTACCTTTCAGATTACTGCAAATACAAGTGTTGCCTTTTTGTTTTCTCACTGATCTTCTAGCCACCACTGTCTGCATCTCCTGTTCAGTTCCAAGTTGAGGCTGCATAGGTTTTGGGTTTGACCCAATGCCACCCTATTTCTAGGGACCAGTTTCTATTTCAGTTATCTTTTGCCCCA